AGGCTGCGGGTGGGTCAGAAAGTAGCAGTGTAGTAGCAGTAGTAGTAGCAGTAGTAGTAGCAGTAGCAGGAGCAGTAGCAGGAGCAGTAGCAGTAGCAGTAGTCGTAGTAGCAGTAGTCATAGTAGTAGTAGTAGTAGTAGTAGTAGTAGTAGTAGTAGTAGTAGTAGTAGTAGTAGTGGTAGTAGTAGTGGTAGTAGTAGGTGTGGTAGTGGTAGTGGTAGTGGTAGTGGTAGTGGTAGTGGTAGTAGTCGTAGTAGTCGTAGTAGTCGTAGTAGTCGTAGCAGTAGCAGCAGCAGGAGGAGTAGTAGTTTAGTATTAGTAGTAGTAGTAGTAGTAGTAGTAGTAGTAGTAGTAGTAGTGGTAGTGGTGGTAGTGGTAGTGGTAGTGGTAGTGGTAGTGGTAGTGGTAGTGGTAGTGGTAGTGGTAAGTGGTAGTAGTAGTAGTAGTCGTAGTAGTCGTAGTAGTCGTAGTAGTCGTAGTAGTCGTAGTAGTCGTAGTAGTTATAGTAGTCGTAGTAGTCGTAGTAGTCGTAGTAGTCGTAGTAGTCGTAGAGTCGTAGTCGTAGTAGTAGTAGTAGTAGTAGTCGTAGTAGTAGTAGTAGTAGTAGTAGTTAGTGGTAGTAGTGGTAGTAGTGGTAGTAGTGGTAGTGTGGTAGTAGTGGTAGTAGTGGTAGTAGTAGTGGTAGTAGTGGTAGTAGTAGTAGTAGTAGTAGTAGTAGTAGTAGTAGTAGTAGTAGTAGTAGTAGTAGTAGTAGTAGTAGTAGTAGTAGTAGTAGTAGTAGTAGTAGTAGTAGTAGTAGTAGTAGTCGTAGTAGTAGTAGTAGTAGTAGTAGTAGTCGTAGTAGTAGTAGCAGTAGTAGTAGTAGTAGTAGTAGTAGTAGTAGTAGTAGTAGCAGTAGTAGCAGTAGCAGTAGCAGTGGCAGTAGCAGTAGCAGCATTAGGAGCAGGAGGAGCCGCCGGCGGAGGCAGAGGCAGTGGCACTGGTAGTGATAATGATAGTGGCAGTGACGGTGATAGTCTTGGCGGTAGCAGCAGCAACAGTCGTTGTAGTACTGCACTAGCAGTACTGCTGGTAAGTAGAAGCAGTGGCAGTAGTCCTTAGCCGGTTTAGCTTGTAGGAGCTGTATCATCGTCCACCACCCACCCATTCCCCCCAGCAAGCAGTTTTAGAGAAGAGGCTCAAGAGCCACCACGGTTTGCTAGTCAGCAATTTGCTACAGCAATTCGTAGTTGCTTGTGCGACTTCGGCGTAGATCATCACAAGAAGCTTTACGTGACGAGCTTTCCCAAGAGGCCCTCGGTGCTGTCGTTGACGCAGCTGCTTTCACGTGCTCCAGCTGCAGTTGCGGCAGTCAGCAGTTCTTTTTTGTATGGGTGGGTCACGACAAGCCAAGCCGGTTTTGGAAGAACCGCAAACTGGAAGGATCCGGACTCTGTGGTGTGTTTGTGTCTTTGTGTCCACTTCAGCGCAGAGTTTGCCAACAGGGGGTAGGGTTGAACATCAAGCAGCCAGTCATTAACATGAAAAAAAGCAGCCGACACCAACAAAGGAGTATCAAATATGCCGTATGAAAGTGAACGCTGAAGCGGAGGCCCATGGCACTCCGATCTCCTCTTTTAGTCGGCCTGCGTGCCTTCTTCGTACTGCGAAGAGGCTTCGATTCAGTGAATACAAGTTACAAGGCGTCATAAGCAAGAGCCCGCGGCAGGTGAAGTGGTGGTGGTGGTGACGGTGGTGTTGCTCTGGTGGTGGCAACAACATTGGTATCAATCAGCCTGATTCCCCCCCTCCCGACGCTCCGCGCCTCGTTACAGAGCCATCATGACGACAACAGCGACGGACAAACGTGATAACAGCAATCAGCAGGAAAATAAGACGGCAACGTCTGACACGATGCCTGCAAGCATGCCCATAGTAATCGCCGGACCCGAAATCGAGGACGGATGAGAAACACTCGCTCATGGCCTTCGTGGAGAGCTGCCAGCTCAGAAGAGTTCATGCGCATGGGGCAGAAGAAGAGAAAGAGCGGTGAGAGGAAAGCAGACTGCCAGGCTCGCCGCAGGCCAGACTTGAGAAGGCTCGAAGTCAAAACCGATCTTTTAATTTTCAGTTGCCATTGTGCCCATGGCGACCAGCGCCCCTCTGCTGGGCAAGCAGGGCAAGGCCGCCCACAGCAAGGCATCGATCTTCTATGGAGCAGACGAGTACCTTGAGGAGCTGAGTAAGTGTCTATTGGTATTAGTACTGCTATTTGTACTGTGAGTATTTTGGGCATGAAAAAATACACCAAAAAAACAAAAACACATCAGGAGCTTAAGAAGAAGTACGAGCACGACCACGAAATTGCTGCCCTCAAGAATGCGCTGCCGGGCGAGGGAGATCCTAACGCGGCAGGCGTTGCCCAGAGCAACGACAAGATGCTCTCCGTTCAGAAGAACGACGAGAACAGGAGCTTGAAGACCAATCGGCTCTTCCCGACTCCGAACAAGCCAGACCCGATGCCGCAGAACTTGGCATTCCTCTTCACCAAGATCACGCCGGACCGGGATGCTGTGCTTGTTCATAAGTTTGAGTCGCTCGCTCCACGTTGATGGAGCAAGATAGGAAGTGAAGGTCCCCGTAAATGTTTAAGCCCACTGAGCAGATCCTTAGGGAAGCCCCTCAAAGTTGCTGCAGGAGCAAATGATCTACATGAGCTTTGTCATAGTTGGGTAGCATTTTGCATGTTTATGGGTACTTAAACCCAGTAAGGAATAGAAATTTACATTTTCGCATTATCCCAAGCATGAACTATAGGTGGAATGTACTTACGGCAATTTTCTTTACCCAAGTGTTGATGGTGATCGGCTACTGTGCAGCATTGGCTTGCTTTCCAGACTACTGGTGGACCTGCACGCTTTGCTTCGGGATCCCCTTCTCGTACATCGCCATCCAGAACATCTACATCGATCACGATGTGATGCATGGTGCCACTTTCCCGGTGTACGAGTGGCAGCGTTTTTTGACCCACCCATTTGCTGACTTCTTCAGCTTGCCGTGGGAGGAATTCGTCCTCGAGCACAACAGGCACCATGCCTCAACTGTGGACTTGCTGATCCAGGGTGAGTTCGGCTGGGACCCCGAGGAGTTCCACTACGCCCTGCAGCAGTGGGCCGGGCCATGGAGCTCCAACTGGTACAAGTACCTGCTCACCGTGCCCTTCATCCCTGTGATCCACTTCTTTGGCCTGAACGACACCGGCTCCCTGTTCGCCTTGGAGTGGTGGATGCACTTTCCCGACGAGGGCGCAGGTGGCAAGTGCAACAAGGAGCTTCCCGGCTTGACTGACTAGTTTCAGAATTGGTCTTGACAGTTCGGAGCAAGGCCACCTCATGGCGCCGGTCATGTTTCTTGCTTCCATGCAGAGTCTCTTCACGCTGAGGTTTTGGAGCAAGTGGATTCCACGCCGCGTCAAGCACAATGCCTTCGTGCTCTCCCTGTGGGCGTGCGTGTGGCTGCTCGGCACTTACCCTCTGGGACGTCCTCTGAGCGAGGGCTGGCGGTTTATGTTCACCGTGTCCGTCTTCGCTCGCATCGGCTACTCCGCGGCCTGGATGTTCATCACCAACTTCACTCATAGCTTCTAGGCGGCTTCAATTTGGGATTGTGTTGAGTTTCCCGTTTGGTCTTAGCGAGGTTCACCCTAAGCCCGAAAGCCTAAACCTTGTGCTCGGGCAACCCCGACCGAAACCCTAAAACCAAAAGCGCATTTCCCTCGCACGGACTACATAACGCTTCAGGATTTCAGGCATATCTCTGGAGCTCTCTTAGCAGGCCCGTCTGACAGCCTCCTCCTGCTAGTTGAAAAGGGCTTCACAAAATCAAACCTAAAAAGAAAATATGTTACGGCCCAGGCTTGCCTTGGAACGAGTTCCTGGCACAGGATCCGGGCCGCACCTGGCCTGTCCTTCACAACGTGATGGCCATGGTCCTTGGAGGAGTCACGACTCAGCGGGTTTGGAGAGAAGCTCAAGGCTTGTGCTTGTTCGTTCTTTTTCTGCTTGGGGTTGGCTCCAGGAAAGCACCGCTGGAACGAGATGCTCTTCCACGATGCGGCTCAGCCGTTTTGGAATCTTTCTGCGAGTTCCAGGATCCGAGTAACTGTACGATGGCATTCGGCCAAATGCAAGTGTCAAAAAAAGATGAGGTCCATCATGCGTTCCCAAATGCTGTCGGCACGCTGAGCCAGCGCGGCCGCTTCCACGGCTGGGAGAAGGCTCTTCGGCCCCTGTTGAAGAGCACTTGGCATATCTTCTACTGAACATTGTCGCGAAAGAACGAACCACTTGAAGCATGCAGTAACTTCAGCGACGATCCCTGACTCTAACATCCCTGCACGAAAAATCCCCCCAGGTTCATGATGCAGCTGCAGAAGTCCTTCACCGTGGGCTTTGGAAGCCCAATGGTGATGAGGCAGACTTTCCTACACTCGAAAACCCGAACGCGCAGACTGCTGCTGCTGCTGCTGCTTTCAGCTGAGTGCACGAGAGGTTGGGTGATTGTGTCTTTTCTGTTCAGGAAACCCAGATGCAGAAGACGCAGAAGAAGCGCTCCTTGATGATGAAGCAGGGCAAATGAGATGCTCAGTTTTCGCTTCTGCCAGCCATAGGGCTGCTCAGCTATGCTGACAGCCTGGTATAGAAGCCTCTCTTGTACAGGGCCTCTTGCGAAGGGCCTGGTTTGTACAGTACACCTCTGTGCGTGTGCCCTGCGGCACCCTTGAGGCCCGTCGAGTGGGTAGGCCCGTGTCGGAGACACTGGCCACAGCTACCCCCTCGCTTGTACTTGGTTCGAGGCGTGTCAGGCAGCCTGGACAAGAGACTTTGCAAAAAGCTTTCGCGGGACTTCGCCGCACGACTTGGCTTTGACTTTGACTTTGGCTTGACTTCAGCTGGCAGGCCAGACTTGAGAAGGCTCGAAGTCAAAACCGATCTTTTAATTTTCAGTTGCCATTGTGCCCATGGCGACCAGCGCCCCTCTGCTGGGCAAGCAGGGCAAGGCCGCCCACAGCAAGGCATCGATCTTCTATGGAGCAGACGAGTACCTTGAGGAGCTGAGTAAGTGTCTATTGGTATTAGTACTGCTATTTGTACTGTGAGTATTTTGGGCATGAAAAAATACACCAAAAAAACAAAAACACATCAGGAGCTTAAGAAGAAGTACGAGCACGACCACGAAATTGCTGCCCTCAAGAATGCGCTGCCGGGCGAGGGAGATCCTAACGCGGCAGGCGTTGCCCAGAGCAACGACAAGATGCTCTCCGTTCAGAAGAACGACGAGAACAGGAGCTTGAAGACCAATCGGCTCTTCCCGACTCCGAACAAGCCAGACCCGATGCCGCAGAACTTGGCATTCCTCTTCACCAAGATCACGCCGGACCGGGATGCTGCGCTTGTTCATAAGTTTGAGTCGCTCGCTCCATGTTGATGGAGCAAGATAGGAAGCGAAGGTCCCCGTAAATGTTTAAGCCCACTGAGCAGATCCTTTGGGAAGCCCCTCAAAGTTGCTGCAGGAGCAAATGATCTACATGAGCTTTGTCATAGTTGGGTAGCATTTTGCATGTTTATGGGTACTTAAACCCAGTAAGGAATAGAAATTTACATTTTCGCATTATCCCAAGCATGAACTATAGGTGGAATGTACTTACGGCAATTTTCTTTACCCAAGTGTTGATGGTGATCGGCTACTGTGCAGCATTGGCTTGCTTTCCAGACTACTGGTGGACCTGCACGCTTTGCTTCGGGATCCCCTTCTCGTACATCGCCATCCAGAACATCTACATCGATCACGATGTGATGCATGGTGCCACTTTCCCGGTGTACGAGTGGCAGCGTTTTTTGACCCACCCATTTGCTGACTTCTTCAGCTTGCCGTGGGAGGAATTCGTCCTCGAGCACAACAGGCACCATGCCTCAACTGTGGACTTGCTGATCCAGGGTGAGTTCGGCTGGGACCCCGAGGAGTTCCACTACGCCCTGCAGCAGTGGGCCGGGCCATGGAGCTCCAACTGGTACAAGTACCTGCTCACCGTGCCTTTCATCCCTGTGATCCACTTCTTTGGCCTGAACGACACCGGCTCCCTGTTCGCCTTGGAGTGGTGGATGCACTTTCCCGACGAGGGCGCAGGTGGCAAGTGCAACAAGGAGCTTCCCGGCTTGACTGACTAGTTTCAGAATTGGTCTTGACAGTTCGGAGCAAGGCCACCTCATGGCGCCGGTCATGTTTCTTGCTTCCATGCAGAGTCTCTTCACGCTGAGGTTTTGGAGCAAGTGGATTCCACGCCGCGTCAAGCACAATGCCTTCGTGCTCTCCCTGTGGGCGTGCGTGTGGCTGCTCGGCACTTACCCTCTGGGACGTCCTCTGAGCGAGGGCTGGCGGTTTATGTTCACCGTGTCCGTCTTCGCTCGCATCGGCTACTCCGCGGCCTGGATGTTCATCACCAACTTCACTCATAGCTTCTAGGCGGCTTCAATTTGGGATTGTGTTGAGTTTCCCGTTTGGTCTTAGCGAGGTTCACCCTAAGCCCGAAAGCCTAAACCTTGTGCTCGGGCAACCCCGACCGAAACCCTAAAACCAAAAGCGCATTTCCCTCGCACGGACTACATAACGCTTCAGGCATATCTCTGGAGCTCTCTTAGCAGGCCCGTCTGACAGCCTCCTCCTGCTAGTTGAAAAGGGCTTCACAAAATCAAACCTAAAAAGAAAATATGTTACGGCCCAGGCTTGCCTTGGAACGAGTTCCTGGCACAGGATCCGGGCCGCACCTGGCCTGTCCTTCACAACGTGATGGCCATGGTCCTTGGAGGAGTCACGACTCAGCGGGTTTGGAGAGAAGCTCAAGGCTTGTGCTTGTTCGTTCTTTTTCTGCTTGGGGTTGGCTCCAGGAAAGCACCGCTGGAACGAGATGCTCTTCCACGATGCGGCTCAGCCGTTTTGGAATCTTTCTGCGAGTTCCAGGATCCGAGTAACTGTACGATGGCATTCGGCCAAATGCAAGTGTCAAAAAAAGATGAGGTCCATCATGCGTTCCCAAATGCTGTCGGCACGCTGAGCCAGCGCGGCCGCTTCCACGGCTGGGAGAAGGCTCTTCGGCCCCTGTTGAAGAGCACTTGGCATATCTTCTACTGAACATTGTCGCGAAAGAACGAACCACTTGAAGCATGCAGTAACTTCAGCGACGATCCCTGACTCTAACATCCCTGCACGAAAAATCCCCCCAGGTTCATGATGCAGCTGCAGAAGTCCTTCACCGTGGGCTTTGGAAGCCCAATGGTGATGAGGCAGACTTTCCTACACTCGAAAACCCGAACGCGCAGACTGCTGCTGCTGCTGCTGCTGCTTTCAGCTGAGTGCACGAGAGGTTGGGTGATTGTGTCTTTTCTGTTCAGGAAACCCAGATGCAGAAGACGCAGAAGAAGCGCTCCTTGATGATGAAGCAGGGCAAATGAGATGCTCAGTTTTCGCTTCTGCCAGCCATAGGGCTGCTCAGCTATGCTGACAGCCTGGTATAGAAGCCTCTCTTGTACAGGGCCTCTTGCGAAGGGCCTGGTTTGTACAGTACACCTCTGTGCGTGTGCCCTGCGGCACCCTTGAGGCCCGTCGAGTGGGTAGGCCCGTGTCGGAGACACTGGCCACAGCTACCCCCTCGCTTGTACTTGGTTCGAGGCGTGTCAGGCAGCCTGGACAAGAGACTTTGCAAAAAGCTTTCGCGGGACTTCGCCGCACGACTTGGCTTTGACTTTGACTTTGGCTTGACTTCAGCTGGCAGGCCAGACTTGAGAAGGCTCGAAGTCAAAACCGATCTTTTAATTTTCAGTTGCCATTGTGCCCATGGCGACCAGCGCCCCTCTGCTGGGCAAGCAGGGCAAGGCCGCCCACAGCAAGGCATCGATCTTCTATGGAGCAGACGAGTACCTTGAGGAGCTGAGTAAGTGTCTATTGGTATTAGTACTGCTATTTGTACTGTGAGTATTTTGGGCATGAAAAAATACACCAAAAAAACAAAAACACATCAGGAGCTTAAGAAGAAGTACGAGCACGACCACGAAATTGCTGCCCTCAAGAATGCGCTGCCGGGCGAGGGAGATCCTAACGCGGCAGGCGTTGCCCAGAGCAACGACAAGATGCTCTCCGTTCAGAAGAACGACGAGAACAGGAGCTTGAAGACCAATCGGCTCTTCCCGACTCCGAACAAGCCAGACCCGATGCCGCAGAACTTGGCATTCCTCTTCACCAAGATCACGCCGGACCGGGATGCTGCGCTTGTTCATAAGTTTGAGTCGCTCGCTCCATGTTGATGGAGCAAGATAGGAAGTGAAGGTCCCCGTAAATGTTTAAGCCCACTGAGCAGATCCTTTGGGAAGCCCCTCAAAGTTGCTGCAGGAGCAAATGATCTACATGAGCTTTGTCATAGTTGGGTAGCATTTTGCATGTTTATGGGTACTTAAACCCAGTAAGGAATAGAAATTTACATTTTCGCATTATCCCAAGCATGAACTATAGGTGGAATGTACTTACGGCAATTTTCTTTACCCAAGTGTTGATGGTGATCGGCTACTGTGCAGCATTGGCTTGCTTTCCAGACTACTGGTGGACCTGCACGCTTTGCTTCGGGATCCCCTTCTCGTACATCGCCATCCAGAACATCTACATCGATCACGATGTGATGCATGGTGCCACTTTCCCGGTGTACGAGTGGCAGCGTTTTTTGACCCACCCATTTGCTGACTTCTTCAGCTTGCCGTGGGAGGAATTCGTCCTCGAGCACAACAGGCACCATGCCTCAACTGTGGACTTGCTGATCCAGGGTGAGTTCGGCTGGGACCCCGAGGAGTTCCACTACGCCCTGCAGCAGTGGGCCGGGCCATGGAGCTCCAACTGGTACAAGTACCTGCTCACCGTGCCCTTCATCCCTGTGATCCACTTCTTTGGCCTGAACGACACCGGCTCCCTGTTCGCCTTGGAGTGGTGGATGCACTTTCCCGACGAGGGCGCAGGTGGCAAGTGCAACAAGGAGCTTCCCGGCTTGACTGACTAGTTTCAGAATTGGTCTTGACAGTTCGGAGCAAGGCCACCTCATGGCGCCGGTCATGTTTCTTGCTTCCATGCAGAGTCTCTTCACGCTGAGGTTTTGGAGCAAGTGGATTCCACGCCGCGTCAAGCACAATGCCTTCGTGCTCTCCCTGTGGGCGTGCGTGTGGCTGCTCGGCACTTACCCTCTGGGACGTCCTCTGAGCGAGGGCTGGCGGTTTATGTTCACCGTGTCCGTCTTCGCTCGCATCGGCTACTCCGCGGCCTGGATGTTCATCACCAACTTCACTCATAGCTTCTAGGCGGCTTCAATTTGGGATTGTGTTGAGTTTCCCGTTTGGTCTTAGCGAGGTTCACCCTAAGCCCGAAAGCCTAAACCTTGTGCTCGGGCAACCCCGACCGAAACCCTAAAACCAAAAGCGCATTTCCCTCGCACGGACTACATAACGCTTCAGGCATATCTCTGGAGCTCTCTTAGCAGGCCCGTCTGACAGCCTCCTCCTGCTAGTTGAAAAGGGCTTCACAAAATCAAACCTAAAAAGAAAATATGTTACGGCCCAGGCTTGCCTTGGAACGAGTTCCTGGCACAGGATCCGGGCCGCACCTGGCCTGTCCTTCACAACGTGATGGCCATGGTCCTTGGAGGAGTCACGACTCAGCGGGTTTGGAGAGAAGCTCAAGGCTTGTGCTTGTTCGTTCTTTTTCTGCTTGGGGTTGGCTCCAGGAAAGCACCGCTGGAACGAGATGCTCTTCCACGATGCGGCTCAGCCGTTTTGGAATCTTTCTGCGAGTTCCAGGATCCGAGTAACTGTACGATGGCATTCGGCCAAATGCAAGTGTCAAAAAAAGATGAGGTCCATCATGCGTTCCCAAATGCTGTCGGCACGCTGAGCCAGCGCGGCCGCTTCCACGGCTGGGAGAAGGCTCTTCGGCCCCTGTTGAAGAGCACTTGGCATATCTTCTACTGAACATTGTCGCGAAAGAACGAACCACTTGAAGCATGCAGTAACTTCAGCGACGATCCCTGACTCTAACATCCCTGCACGAAAAATCCCCCCAGGTTCATGATGCAGCTGCAGAAGTCCTTCACCGTGGGCTTTGGAAGCCCAATGGTGATGAGGCAGACTTTCCTACACTCGAAAACCCGAACGCGCAGACTGCTGCTGCTGCTGCTGCTGCTTTCAGCTGAGTGCACGAGAGGTTGGGTGATTGTGTCTTTTCTGTTCAGGAAACCCAGATGCAGAAGACGCAGAAGAAGCGCTCCTTGATGATGAAGCAGGGCAAATGAGATGCTCAGTTTTCGCTTCTGCCAGCCATAGGGCTGCTCAGCTATGCTGACAGCCTGGTATAGAAGCCTCTCTTGTACAGGGCCTCTTGCGAAGGGCCTGGTTTGTACAGTACACCTCTGTGCGTGTGCCCTGCGGCACCCTTGAGGCCCGTCGAGTGGGTAGGCCCGTGTCGGAGACACTGGCCACAGCTACCCCCTCGCTTGTACTTGGTTCGAGGCGTGTCAGGCAGCCTGGACAAGAGACTTTGCAAAAAGCTTTCGCGGGACTTCGCCGCACGACTTGGCTTTGACTTTGACTTTGGCTTGACTTCAGCTGGCAGGCCAGACTTGAGAAGGCTCGAAGTCAAAGCCGATCTTTTAATTTTCAGTTGCCATTGTGCCCATGGCGACCAGCGCCCCTCTGCTGGGCAAGCAGGGCAAGGCCGCCCACAGCAAGGCATCGATCTTCTATGGAGCAGACGAGTACCTTGAGGAGCTGAGTAAGTGTCAGTCTATTGGTATTAGTACTGCTATTTGTACTGTGAGTATTTTGGGCATGAAAAAATACACCAAAAAAACAAAAACACATCAGGAGCTTAAGAAGAAGTACGAGCACGACCACGAAATTGCTGCCCTCAAGAATGCGCTGCCGGGCGAGGGAGATCCTAACGCGGCAGGCGTTGCCCAGAGCAACGACAAGATGCTCTCCGTTCAGAAGAACGACGAGAACAGGAGCTTGAAGACCAATCGGCTCTTCCCGACTCCGAACAAGCCAGACCCGATGCCGCAGAACTTGGCATTCCTCTTCACCAAGATCACGCCGGACCGGGATGCTGCGCTTGTTCATAAGTTTGAGTCGCTCGCTCCATGTTGATGGAGCAAGATAGGAAGCGAAGGTCCCCGTAAATGTTTAAGCCCACTGAGCAGATCCTTTGGGAAGCCCCTCAAAGTTGCTGCAGGAGCAAATGATCTACATGAGCTTTGTCATAGTTGGGTAGCATTTTGCATGTTTATGGGTACTTAAACCCAGTAAGGAATAGAAATTTACATTTTCGCATTATCCCAAGCATGAACTATAGGTGGAATGTACTTACGGCAATTTTCTTTACCCAAGTGTTGATGGTGATCGGCTACTGTGCAGCATTGGCTTGCTTTCCAGACTACTGGTGGACCTGCACGCTTTGCTTCGGGATCCCCTTCTCGTACATCGCCATCCAGAACATCTACATCGATCACGATGTGATGCATGGTGCCACTTTCCCGGTGTACGAGTGGCAGCGTTTTTTGACCCACCCATTTGCTGACTTCTTCAGCTTGCCGTGGGAGGAATTCGTCCTCGAGCACAACAGGCACCATGCCTCAACTGTGGACTTGCTGATCCAGGGTGAGTTCGGCTGGGACCCCGAGGAGTTCCACTACGCCCTGCAGCAGTGGGCCGGGCCATGGAGCTCCAACTGGTACAAGTACCTGCTCACCGTGCCCTTCATCCCTGTGATCCACTTCTTTGGCCTGAACGACACCGGCTCCCTGTTCGCCTTGGAGTGGTGGATGCACTTTCCCGACGAGGGCGCAGGTGGCAAGTGCAACAAGGAGCTTCCCGGCTTGACTGACTAGTTTCAGAATTGGTCTTGACAGTTCGGAGCAAGGCCACCTCATGGCGCCGGTCATGTTTCTTGCTTCCATGCAGAGTCTCTTCACGCTGAGGTTTTGGAGCAAGTGGATTCCACGCCGCGTCAAGCACAATGCCTTCGTGCTCTCCCTGTGGGCGTGCGTGTGGCTGCTCGGCACTTACCCTCTGGGACGTCCTCTGAGCGAGGGCTGGCGGTTTATGTTCACCGTGTCCGTCTTCGCTCGCATCGGCTACTCCGCGGCCTGGATGTTCATCACCAACTTCACTCATAGCTTCTAGGCGGCTTCAATTTGGGATTGTGTTGAGTTTCCCGTTTGGTCTTAGCGAGGTTCACCCTAAGCCCGAAAGCCTAAACCTTGTGCTCGGGCAACCCCGACCGAAACCCTAAAACCAAAAGCGCATTTCCCTCGCACGGACTACATAACGCTTCAGGCATATCTCTGGAGCTCTCTTAGCAGGCCCGTCTGACAGCCTCCTCCTGCTAGTTGAAAAGGGCTTCACAAAATCAAACCTAAAAAGAAAATATGTTACGGCCCAGGCTTGCCTTGGAACGAGTTCCTGGCACAGGATCCGGGCCGCACCTGGCCTGTCCTTCACAACGTGATGGCCATGGTCCTTGGAGGAGTCACGACTCAGCGGGTTTGGAGAGAAGCTCAAGGCTTGTGCTTGTTCGTTCTTTTTCTGCTTGGGGTTGGCTCCAGGAAAGCACCGCTGGAACGAGATGCTCTTCCACGATGCGGCTCAGCCGTTTTGGAATCTTTCTGCGAGTTCCAGGATCCGAGTAACTGTACGATGGCATTCGGCCAAATGCAAGTGTCAAAAAAAGATGAGGTCCATCATGCGTTCCCAAATGCTGTCGGCACGCTGAGCCAGCGCGGCCGCTTCCACGGCTGGGAGAAGGCTCTTCGGCCCCTGTTGAAGAGCCCTTGGCATATCTTCTACGGAACGTTGTCGCGAAGGAACAAACCACTTGAAGGATGCAGTAACTTCGGCGACGATCCCTGACTGTACCATCCCTGCACGAAAAATCCCCCCAGGTTCATGATGCAGCTGCAGAAGTCCTTCACCGTGGGCTTTGGAAGCCCAATGGTGATGAGGCAGACTTTCCTACACTCGAAAACCCGAACGCGCAGACTGCTGCTGCTGCTGCTGCTGCTGCTTTCAGCTGAGTGCACGAGAGGTTGGGTGATTGTGTCTTTTCTGTTCAGGAAACCCAGATGCAGAAGACGCAGAAGAAGCGCTCCTTGATGATGAAGCAGGGCAAATGAGATGCTCAGTTTTCGCTTCTGCCAGCATAGGGCTGCTCAGCCACGCTGACAGCCTGGTATAGAAGCCTCTCTTGTACAGGGCCTCTTGCGAAGGGCCTGGTTTGTACAGTACACCTCTGTGCGTGTGCCCGTGTCGGAGAAACTGGCCGCAGCTACTCCTTCGTTTGTACTTGGTTTGAGGCGTGTCAGGCAGCCTGGACAAGAGACTTTGCAAAAACTCTTCGCGGGACTTCGCCGCACGACTTGGCTTTGACTTTGACTTTGGCTTGACTTCGGCCATCGGCTGAGGCGCAACCAGGCAGGCTCCGGAGGTCGCGGCTTACGAGTGCCGTTCTCGGGCTTGGAGCGGTCCGGTCCCCCCTGAACCCTTTATTTACAGGTTCCATTGCTAGGGTTGCCAGCTCCCCAAGCAAAGGCCTAAGAGCGGCGGGATCCTCTCCGTCCTCGAGGCGCGCTTTCGAGCTCGAAGACCTGAGATGAAGCTCCTGGGATCACGTCGCAGCGAATTGCAGAACTGTCTTGCATTCTTCACGGCATGTTGTGACACATGGCTTTATGCAGACCCTTATCTGTACGTATAGTATAGATTCTATAGTGCAGATAGACAAAGTCTGTTAACTTGTCCTGGGAATCTATGTATGCTTTGATCCATGTGTTCATGCATTTCCACATGTGCTTTTGTCAGCACAACTGTTTTTGAACGATCGGTATTCGAACAGAGCACAAGTTTGCCAAGTGTACACAGGCGGGTGAATTTCGGTTCGCAGATTTGTTCCAGTGCAATGTCTACATACTCAGATTTTTTATGACTGTTTTGATATGCTGCCAGAAATGTACCCCGCGGGGCAAGGTGATTGAACTCCTGTGACCTTTGCCTGAGAACGTTGTAGATATGTCCGCATGCGCGTGTGTCTATGTACTGACACTTTATAGTTCACTAAATGGCTGCAAACATTTCTTGTTCCTGGTGGTGTGATGCTGCCGCTGTGAGTAATAGCGCCTGGTGCTGGATGGATCTTCTGCCAGGACATGAAGTCCAAGGCCCGCGACAATCTGAACACCTTGGTCTCAGAGGAGCGTAAGACGCGGGAAAACGCCGGGTTTGAGGCATTGCGTTAATTTTACGCTGGAACATCGCCGGTGAATCAATCGTACATCGACAAACCGAGTCTGGTTCGATACCGAAGCTTTGCGACACGAGCAAGGTCAGATACGACAGTCCTGAAGTCTTTGGCGCTAATTCCGCGTACAGTCATGTCGAAGCAAGGACAAGAAGGCCCAGCACAGCTTCGCCATGTTGGGGCCTCGCATCAGGGTTGCCCAGCATTTACTTCCTAGTGATGATCTGAAACTGAGCCTGGCTTAGTCCCGAAGGCTGCAGCAGTCACTTCAGATGCAGATCGCCGCCGACAAGAAGGAGATGGAGCAGACCAAGGCATCCTCTGTAATGTACAATAAAGAGCTCTGATATGGGCGAGGACGACGGTTTCAGAAACTGAGGCTGAGGCGGGGCTCACTCACAAGGATGCTGTTATTTACATACGGAAGAAGGTCCCCCAATTTTCTGAAGCATAATGTAATGCCAAAGCATGCCTTATCATTACATATCCTGTCATTGACATATCATGTCGTGCCATGTTATGTCACAGCTCACCGTTTAACTTCCGTGCAGATAGAACAATGGAACGTAACATGAGAAGAATACTACAGTATCAGTTCATATAGCAGGACATGACATAGTCTACTACAGTACAGTATACTATCATAGAATACTTGATGGATAGAGGATAACCTAGGACGTATCCTATACTATGCCATGCCATACTACTCTGTTCTTTATGCATTATGCCTTACACTCTATACTCAAAACTATATATTCGATGCTATGTATAGTATACTCCAGACTCTGTACTTTAGACACCTCTATACTACACTATGCCAAGCCACCTCTTCTCCTTAATCGGGCTTCTAAAATCGCGTGTCGGGGGAGTTATTTAGATTGACATCAATGCGTTTAGAGAGCATCTTTTCTGCTCTTCGCTATGAAGCAGCACGCAAGGACATCCAAATATTACCCATGTTGGTGCTAGGAAAACCGCTAGAATCGCGCTAGGCATGTTTAGAACCGCATGCTCAAGGTGAAGCTCTTGTGCATGGCCCCGTCATCCCAACCCATGAGCGAACCTTTAATGTTAACTCCTCAGGTCGGCAAGATCAGCACTGTGGTTTGCAACAGCCACATGCTTCCAAAATCCATGCTCGGTATGCGGACTGGCGTGGGTTGTGGCAGCCTAGTGTTTCTAACACTCGCGGGTTTTGTGGCAGCTCTGCTTCCTTATCCGATCGAGCACCCAGTCACAGGTGATTTTTGGGCATTTACAAGACGGCACAGTGCGCTAGATCCGGGCTAGCTCGGCGCTAACAGAATCTCACCGCAACCTGCTCCAGAAGACCCTGCTGGCCCACCTCACCACAACCATCCGCAACCTGAGATCCGGGAGCAGCATCCATGCTGTTGCCCGTGAACCTGAAAAGCCTACCTGATCAGGGCCGAGACTACTACGTGCAGTAGAGCGCACAGCACGATTCCTCCATCAAACGAGCGGGCGTAGAGTTCAACAACCGGCAATGCGAATCGTGCGGACGTTCTTTCATGGGCCTGTCTTGGGCAGAGCAGGTCAGACTCCTGCCAAAATTGCGTCACCTGCCACAAGTCAAGCAGCCAGCAGTAGCAGTTCTACCCGACAGCACGTCCGACAGCAGCTGCTGAAAGGTCTGCGTGCTAGTACCCTTCTTAGGAATTCAGCCATGCTTTCGCAAACTCCTGCGTTTGCTGCTACGTATCTGTAAGCCTGGTTCCTTTTGCCGCATGAAGCTGCACGCAACTACAGCCGCATTAACGTCAGTTTCGGGAGCAAGCATTTCCACAATAGCCCTATTAAGGTCTCCTCTTTAAGTCTCCTTTGAGCCACCTCAAGATCTCCTGCAGCCTAAACCCTAAACCCCTCCGTCAGTCTCCTTTAAGTCCCCTTGAGGTACCCCTAATTTTCGGAAGCTCTAAGCTCTTGTAGAGCCCTTTAAAGGAACCCTCTAGTACCCTACTACGGTTAATGATATAAATCCTGCATGACTTTAAGGGCCAAAAACTATGGGAATTATGGTATATTCCTTACTATGGGTCATGCAGGATTGATATCATCAACACTAGTAGCCCTTTTTAGCTCTTCCTCGCCAGGCCGTCAAGGCCGAGGCCTCCGAGAGCAAGGCCACCGCAGAGGGCGACCTCACCGGCTCCGAGAAGGACGGCTGACACGTCTTTCCGGGGCCTTTGGGCCTATCATAGCTCTTCATATCAGTAAGGTTCACAACTCATAATGGTAGGAAAGTTCATAATTCATCCTAGTAATGTAGGGATGTTTGAGGAGAAAGACCGAGGAGATTTTGTGACAGGTGTGCGGGTCGCTTCCGATTCTCGCAGACAGATGCCGCACAGCCTTAGTTCTAGGGGACCCTGGATTCGCACGGATTCATGGATAGGCTTCCAGGTTTTGGCTTTTTTGCGGCGGTAGCTGGCTTGCTGTGCTTCTTTCCTGCGTCCCAAACACCCTCCCATCCACGTGCTTCGCTCCCCGAGAAGCTCCAAATCAGGACCTTGCCAACGACAAGGCATCCCTTCAGAAGCTGGAGGTCCCATCCCTTGGCCTTTGAGTCACTTGGGTGGTTGTCAATATTGGGGTCCCGTATTGGGTCCCTATTATAGTACGGCACCTATTGTTTAGGGTACCCGAAAAGGGACCCTAATTTTGACAACCACCCACTTGCAATCCTCCTCTCGGCTCTGATTCTTCGGGTAGATCAGCGCGGCATCGAAGCTGAGGCGAGCTGCTCCCAGGCGACTGCCGACTTCGAGGAGCTAAGCCTCCCGAACCCCGAAGTCTCAGAACCTCAGCCCTAAACCCTGTAAGCCCGAGGCCCTTAACCCTAAACCTTAGACCCTAAACCCTGAGGGTCACCGAAAGCCCTTCTGTGTCCGAGGAGTCCAAGGCGAGCCGCGCCGAGGAGCTGGAGGCCTCCACAATAACGCCTCGCATTGAAGCGGGATGGATGCATACTTAGTACATACTACATGTAATATGTATGCATGTATCTCTTATATATATATATATATATATATATTTGCATGTATCTGCATGTAGGTAGTTATGTATCCCTCTATGTATATCTACCTATCTATCTATCCATCTGTCCATCTGTCCATCCATCCATCCATCCATCCATCCATCCATCAACCAGCATGCATGCATGCATTCAGGCATGCATCCGTGCATCCACGTTTGCAATATTATATATATATATATGTACATGTACACGTGCATGCTTGCTTCTTTACATTTATCGGACCTCTTTTTACGTATGTACGTAAGTTCGACTGAAGCCCCAAGCTCTTCAGGCCCTGAAGAAGGCTGAGGAGGTTCTCGCGGAGAAGACGGGCAATGCCCAGGCCGGGACTTGTGAAGCACGAAACACATTGGGGAAAAGTGTTGGGGACAAAAGTTTCGTTTTCTCAATATGTTCAGAGTTGGGGACAAACATGTTGTTTAGTTTCTTCCCCAATATGCTTAGAGTCTGAAGCTCTGCAAGTCCGGTTCAGAGAGTTCTCAGAAGCAACAACGCGAAGCGAGCTGGACCATCCTCCGGCTGAATTTCCTTGGGGTGTGCTCTCTACGGCTCTGCGTGCTGAAAACCCGATACCCCAACCCTCAAACCCATGAAACCTCAACCTTAACATGTCCCTGAGCCCTCAACCGCAGACTCCTAAAGGCTCATCGCCAAAGACCCTCCAGGCTTCAACCAACTGAGCCCTACAGCGCATGCATTACCCAGATTTCGATACGACAAGATGCCAGCCCCTGCAATGAACACCATCATGTTGTGCAACTTTACTGTTGTAAGCATGAAGCTGTTGTCGGCTGTTGCACTGCTGAGCTCGGCGCTCCTCTTTCCAGGCGAGCGTCTACAAGGCCATGTTTCTGCAGGCGCCCGGATCCCTCATTGCAGGGGTGTGTTGACTTGCTAGCGTGTGAACGAGCGGTGGGTGAACAGTCGCCTACAACTGCTGTACCTGTTTGCTGGAGTCTCAGACGAGTCGGAGTCACAGTGGCCGCCGATTTGATCAGCGACGGCAGGTGAACGAGCACAGCAGGTGTCCCAGGTGCCAGATGAGTTGCAGCACATCTGTTCTTCTGGGTCGCGCCGAACTTCCCCCATCCTACGCCGATCGTAGATTGCTGAGTGTCGCATCTCAGGCCAGACTCGATCCAACAGCTCCCAGCCTGACATCAGGAGCTACGAGTAGTCATAGAGTCATAGCCTATTGCTGCTTTTGTTGTTCCGATGTCCCTTCTCATGTGGCACCCAGTAGACCAGCTCTAGCAGGAGCTTCGAGGTCGTCAAGATGGTGCGCACGCTGGCTAAGAAGGCAGGATTGCACTTTGCGATTGTGTTGAAGTGATAGGTTCATCCCATTGCCTTTCCCTTGCTAGTGTCTGCTGCTGTACATGTGAGTAGCTTTGCTTGCATACGATGATCTATCTTTGATCCTGTGATGCTCCAAGCGCTGCTTCCATGCAAACTGCTTGTTTCGCATGCTTGGTTTTCTCTCCCTCCGCTTTGTGTGTTTTCGTCTCCTGTATGCGTTGAATCGGTCCTGTTTGCGGAAAGTGATTGACATGCTTCCGGACGGGCAGGAGTGTGGCGCTCGTGCCCCTAGGTTCACTAACAAAGCTGTGGAGCCATAGGGGAACTAATGAGTGGCTTTGTACCTGCCACAAAACAGAAGTACCTGTGCACCATGACAGTTGGGGCACAGCTTGGTCACCTGCATCTGCTTTCGTAGTATCGAAATCCGGTGTTACAGGCAGTGATTTGTAGAAGCGAACTTGTGAATCGCCGTTAGCCAATATTGGTCTTACGAACGAGGTCACCCTTCGGTGCTACACAGCACCAGCTTAAATCGATATGTTCTGTGCCCCACCTCAACACCAGCACCGGTGCCGGCACTGGCACCACCAAAGGCGTCCCCCACGTTATGTTTTTTTGCTCAATTTTCGTTACTTGTATAGTGAGGAACATGAAAAGGAAGGTGAGCGGCAGCAGCAGGAGGAGGAGTAGTAGTAGCAGTAGTAGTAGATGTAGTAGATGATCGTCCCAGCTTAGCATTGCAAAGGTCAGCCGTATCAGTTTGGCTCACCATGATGCCTCGTCGCTGCTGCCAGTCCCAGTCCAGTGGCCTGGAGACGTTGGCCTCCAACATCGAGTCGCTCTTGCAGACACGTGCCCGCCTCGAATTCCGTTGTAAGACGAGAACGAAGTGAGTAGGAAAGACAGCTCATTGCCTTGGGGCTTGGGGGTACCTTTGTGCAGCTGCATAGATGGTTTGGGCACAGTCCAGGCCAGTCCGAAGACGTCTTTGCCAAGGCGAGCCAGATCTTGCGTGCCTGTCGTAAGGGCTTCCGTTCCCGCAGTTCCCGGTCTCAACACGGAGCTTCCCCTTGAGGTCCGAACTTGCCGCAGCCCCGACAGGTCAAGGAGCTCATCCAGAACATGATTGACAGCCGCAAGGAGGAGGCACCTGCGAGGGGCGTGGGTTTTCTGACTCGCCTCCGCCGTAGCCTGGATTGCCTCAGTAAGAGCATCGTGCCAAGGCTGCAGCCGACCAGACAAAGAAGGCTTATTGCGACGAGGAGAAGGCCAAGACGAAGGCCCACGGCAGCAACCAATGCCGCTTGTGCAGAGCTCACGCGAGTTTTCAAGCGCCAGGACAAGGTGGACGACCTCACCAGCACCAAGGAGAAGCTGTCGGCCAAGGCCGAAGCTCGTTCGCAGATGGCCCCAGCAAAGACTTCCAATAAGAAGGTGGACAAGAAGTCCTCCGAGTCCGAGACTCTGAAGAGCCCCGCCCTTAGCGGTGTCCTGTGGCGCGGGCAGGTACTGCCTCCGCAGCTGCAGGGGAGAGAGTGCTTTTGGCCGGCATGTTCTAAGAAGCTGTGCCCCTTGTGCCTGGCCCCGGACGATCCTGGATGTTACACATGGGTGCACTTGTGCCCGCGCGTGCTGGCTCATGCTGGGCCCTGCACGTCCGAAGGTCAGGAAAGTTTGCGTCGAAGACCTGGGTTTTAGGTCATCTCGCCCTGCGTTCCTAGGTAGACAGAGAGGACTTCGGATTATCAGTAAGGAAAGCAGTGCTTGTCAGAATTTCGTAGGAAGAATCATCTGACTGTGACTAATTAGTCGAGGCCGAGGCATAGCTTTTGATTCGATCGCAGGCGAGGCGGCCACACTGCAACGGGAGCTTGCAGAGCTCGCCCAGTTGCAGGCCGTGGCGCTCTGGCGCTGTGGCGATTGGTAGAGCTGATCACGCTTCCGCCTTTTTGGGTTTCAGATTCGACCTTAGGGGTACCTTATTTTGGCGTCATTATTATAAGGATCCTACGATGTAGGGTATTGCATAAGGGTCCCTTATCATCGGAAACCCCCGTTTGATATCGGTTTGTGCCATGGCCGGCTCTTGTATCACCGCTTTAGTCGCTCTGCTTGCAGATTGAGATGGACGAGACTCGCAAGGAGGAGAGCGGGGAGCCCAGCGTCGTTGAAAGCTTCTTCTCTTTGTACCGCCGCAGTCGCAGCTTGCGGAGAGCTGGTAGAGCCTCCTTCAGTTGCGAGTTCTGAGATCGAACTTCACGGTGCTGATACGTAGAATGGCCAAACGGGTATTTGGGAGGAATTGGGCCGACGGTGTTGCGTCTTGACGCAGCTTCTCTACACTATACACGTGCTTCACCTCCGGCGCTCGACACCTTTGGTTTGTCGTGCCTTGCAGGCACCGCCTTCAAAAAGCAGAAGGAGGACCGCACCGCAAAGCGGGAAGTTGCAACGACTCTCTGAACGAAGACGGCTCCACTCGGGAGCCCTAAAGTTCCTAAAGATCCCGCTAGCAGTTCTTTGGACGGATGATGGCTTCTTGACTTTGGGATAGTTTTGGGGGTTTCTCGTTTGGGAATGATAACTTATGGATATATGTGATATCATGAGTTCCAAAAAGCCATTGTAAACAACTCTTTTTGAAGCCCTCGTGGAGCCCTTTGGCCTCTTCCGGGCCTTGAGCCAGTCTGCAATTTCACGTACGCTCGCCAGAGTAATCTGCAATGCAGCTCAAGCCGCGATGGCAGAAACATAATGATACCAACATCAACGAGTCAACATGTCAGCATTAGTAATGATGATAAAAGGAACAGCCACCACGGCAATAGTTTGGCAACAATCATATTTAACCACGTCCCAACACGTGATGAGGAAAGATGCAGAAGATGACGACAACGTCAACCCATCAAAACCCTTAAACGCCTGAACCCTTAAAGCCCCAAGCCCTGAATCCCTCAAAATAGCTAGCTTAATACAGAACAAGATAACATACATCTTATATGTCATAGTACATACTATGTAACCTCTAACACCTAACAGATACCATATAACATGTAACATAGAGTCTGTAACATAATAATACTGTATTTTACTCTATAACATACCATAACCTACCAAAACCTACTTTTTTGTAGGGTCCCTATAAACTCCATATTAAGGTGTATAATAAGAACCTACAATAAAAGTAGGGTTTGGTAGGTTAAGGTAAACCCTAAACCCCTAAACCCCTAAACCCTAAACCCTAAACCCCTAAACCCCTAAACCCCTAAACCCCTAAACCCTAAACCCCTAAACCCCTAAACCCCTAAACCCTAAACCCCTAAACCCCTAAACCCCTAATCCCTAAACCCCTAAACCCCTAAACCCCTAATCCCTAACCCCCTAAACCCTCGTGTTCCTAAGAAGGACCTCGAGGCCGGCTTGGAAGGCACGGGTCTCAGGGACTTCTCGCGCTTCGGAAGCGGGCCAGGAGGCGTTGTACTACTAGGGTTGATGGACATAATCCTGCATTTCTTAAGGGCCCTAAAGTATGGGAACTATGGTATATTCCTTAGAACGGGTAATGCAGGATTTTGTCCATCAACAGTAAGGACCCTTCGGGGGGTAGGGGGCTTTAATATGAGCATAGTTCCCTACCTCCCTCCCCCTACCCCCCTAAGTTGTACGAGTACTGTGAAAGACTCGGTTTTTGGTAGCATCTTCGTTGCAGTCATCATCGTATGCTACTGGTGTTTGTCAGCCTTCTTATCATTTCACTATACTCCGGCTACCATGAAAACAGTGATGCTGTTACTCTGACAACTCACTTGCTACTGTCACGACGCGCTAGTCATGAACTCATCCCACCCAGCGGCGCCGCCTTTCCCATGCTGCGAGGTGTGCGCTCGGCACTCACCGTGCTGCGAGACTACTACGCCGCCTTCCCGCAACTATCGACAATGTGCTGAAGATTGTGGGAGTTTATAGGGTTCGGGGAACACGGGGCTTGTGGGGCTTGCGGGTTTTAGCTTGGCGGCTTGCAGGGATTGAGGTTCACGATCAGATTAGCACGTCTAGATCTGATGCAGAGCTCGCAGAGCAGACACAGTTTTCTCCTTGCCACGTAGTCGGACGATTCCATCGAGTTTCGGCAGTTTGCGCGTGACGGTAACGACGATGATGACAACGATGTCCATGATGATGTAGCAGTATCAGTGGTCGTCGGCATCGTAGTGATGGTGGTGGTCGGGGTCGTGGCCGTGGCCGTGGGGGTGGTCGTGGTGGTGGTAGCCGTCGTAGTAGTAGTAGTAGTAGTAGTAGTAGTAGTAGTAGTAGTAGTAGTAGTAGTAGTAGTAGTAGTAGCATTAGTAGTAGCAGTAGCGGTGGCAGTGGCACTGGGAGTACTAGTAGTAGTAGTAGTAGTAGTACTACTACTACTACTACTACTGCTACTACTACTACTACTACAACTACTACTACAACGGCTCCTACTTCTACGACAGCTAATAATAATGCTGTTGCCAACAGTAATATGATGATTATGCTGCTGATGATGATGGTAGGTGACAGCGATTCGAAAGGGCTTGTTGTGCTTGTCGAAGTGATGTGCTACCAGCATGTGCTCGGAGTTCTGCAAACTTGCGAGGCGTCTGGCACGTGCAAGCCTCGGAGAGAATTATGTGTTTCTTCCTCTGCCTGCTTTGAGGATTTCGGCAAGCCTGTGCTCGGATTTGGACAAGTGGCTAACCTACCTCTCAAAGAGCTCAGAAGGCTGACATGAGCTTCATCACTACTACTACTACTGCTGCTGCTACTACTACTGCTGCTACTACTACTACTACTACTACTACTACTACTACTATTACTCCTGCTGCTACTACTACTACTACTACTACTACAACCAGTACTACTACTGCTACTACTACTACTACTGCTACTACTACTACTACTGCTACTACTGCTACTACTGCTACTACTACCACTACCACTACCAGGTTACTACCAGTGCCAATGAACTTTATGGCTCCGCCGAGGGCTCTCCTCCAGCAGCCGGACCTCGGCTTCGCAAAGATCGGCCCTCAGCACGGCGAAAGGGTGCTGCTGTTCAGCTCCACAGCAGATCCGCTTATTGTGGCTGCTATGCAGATATTGCGTTGTCAGCTCCCTATCTTCACCAGTCTTGCTCCTTTCTGATCGCTACGTACACGTACACAAAGCCTTTTAAGTCATTGCTTCCAACTCCTGCCTGCTATTACATTTATCTAATGGCCAGAGGGAAGACGTGAAGAGGGAGAGAGGTTGAGGCTCATTCGAGGTGCGGTGACGAAGAGCTTGGAAAGCGGATCAGGTCGAGCAGCGCCTCCACCGGTATCCTCGGCATGCTGGAAGCCGGGGTCCAAGGTTCTACGTTTGCCAGCAAACGGTTCGCCGGTGCCAGGGAAGAGTGCCGCATGGTGCAAAGGAACATAGCCTCCCACGATTTGTACACAACACGGGTCTTCGCAGGCTCGAGGTATCTCAGACGACACGTTCACCGTCATCTGTTTCGTGCTACATGTTCATGGTTCGTGCGACGTCAACAGACAACCACGCGCCGAGTACGAGGGGTAACAGCAACCCGGGCTGTGACCGCGATCGCTGCTACAACCCATGGCCCTTAAAGACCCCCTTCAACCCTAAGGCCACTAGAGCACGTTGCGCGCAACACCTGAATCCCGCCCAACCATAGGCCATAGACCCCAAAGCATAGTATGTTTTGACTGAGGACTTGTCATTTTTTTGAAGCCCGTCCCAAGATCCATCCTGAAACCCCAGGCGAGGTACATGTTTGCGGTAACCGTGGCAGTAGCTGGGATGTTTGCTCATTGCTTGGGGTAGTATTTTTCCCGACAGACTATCCTACACCCCAATCCCTAATCCCGAATCCCTAAACCGCATATTCCCCAAACCCTAATCCCTAAACCCTGTAATCCCTAAACCCTAAACCCTAAGACCCTAAGCCCGACTCTATGAACCTCTCCGAGGTCGTGGAGAGCGACTTCGGCCGGAGCCTCGCCCAGGCCGAGACGGCCGAGGCTACGAAGGCCGGGCAAGGGCGCCCTTCTTTTCCCGACCCCCCCCCACCCCCCCCCAGAGATAAGGGGGGATCATGAAGACTGCGCAGTGCGCAGAATCAATGGGGTGAAGTAGTTTAAGTTACAGGCGGCTTTTGTAGGTTGGAGGCTCAGGCTTCCGGGCGGGTTTGTTTGTAAGATCATTGCGTTTCTTTGGTTTGAGGGGCGGTGTTATTGTGGGTGGATATCCATGTGCTTCCAGGGCTCGTCGTAGTGGAGCCCCGGTCGCCCTGGGAACAGGCAGAGGACTACGAGTCCATGACCAAGCAGAACAAGCTCACCAAGGTCAGGCGGCAGCACCTACCTTGCCCTTCACACTCTGTCTGCTGGTCTGGCTGGCCGGCTGTTTGCACGTATGCGTGTCAGCCAATGTATTTCTGTACGTATGTCAATACTTAGCCAGTTTACTTGCTGGTTTGTTCAATTTTTGGTTTGCTTAGTTGTTTCTTTACTTGCATTTTGGCTTCTTTGCTTTCTGCTTCGCTATCTGCTTGCCTGTTTGTTTGTTCCTCTTGCTGTGAACTTCCACCCGCCTGTAAGTGTGAGTCGGTGTGTAAGTGTGTGTGTGTGTGTGTGTGTGTGTATTTGTAGAAGCATCCTGTGTGCATTTTTGCATTCGTCTTTGTGCATGTATGCCTGCAAGCCCACGTAGTGAGGCAACAACTGTCTATGCACGTATGTTAATTTGGTGTTTTTTGACGTTACGGGTAGATGATGTAGGTTGTTTCTTTTGATCAATCCATTTACTGTCTGTCTGTCTGTCTATCTGTCTGTTTGCCTACCTGTCTACATGTATAGGTATCCATGTATCATCTTTCCACCTATCAATCTTTCCATCTATCCGTCTTTCCATCTACCATCTTTCCATCTGGCCAGCTATCCATCTATTTGTCCATCCATCCATCGATCTATCTGTCTATCTATTTATCTACGTCTGTACACACATTTATGCATACGTATATACGTGCGTACATACAAGCATACGTACGTGCGTACACACGTACACACGTGCACACGTACGCGCGTACACAGACACACATGAATACATACAGACAGTTACAGACATACATACATATCTATGCACACATGCCTACATACGTAAATGCATAAATACAGAGATGCATGCCCGTATCACAGTTTAAGTTTATGCAGCAACATCCATACACATACATATTTACATACTTACGTACTTACATACCTATTTATCTGCATACTTACAACATGCTTACATCTTCTTGTGAGTACACACATACACATCTACATATTAATGTATATGCCCTCATACGTGTCCCCATGCATGGTAACATATGCATATACAGATACGCATGGACATATGCTTATGCATAAACATGTGCATATGTGTGTACATGTTGCTGCCTCTTTATGTGGCCGTGATTTATGCCAGTTCAGGTGCAGAAGGATCAGGATCAGAAGTACAAGACGCGACTTGGCATGAGGATTGTGGTCTACTCCCTCATAAAAGATGTTTACCTAGTAGTTTTGGGCTCTATTCTATTATGACTAATATAGGGACCGATAATGTTGGGCTCCATTCTACTTTAACTATACAGGAACCATCAGGGTCAGTCTGGTTGTTCTTTGACTCCGAGAGTTTTCCTGCCCTCCGCCGAGGAAGGCAGCTACTGCCTTGGACCAGGCAGCCGCGGCCTCGGAATCTATCATGCTTGTCATACAAAATAGTATCATATAGTAGGTCATTTGTAATTCTACAAGAGTTTTGATGCAACATAGTATCGTATCGTATGGTAGAGAAGAATATACTCAGAAATATTCGAATATAGTGGAAGTGCACGATGGATACTGTAGTCTTCTACAGCATACTGTAACGCACTATAACTCATAATGTACTATTGCTCAGTCTAGTGTACTGAAATATATACGTCAAGATGCTACAAAACATACCGTAGTATACTGAAGTCTACTGTACTATCTTGCCTTTGTATTGTGAACCCTAAACCCCTAAACTCCTAAACCCCTAACCCTAAAGCCTAAACCCTAAACCCTAAACCCCAAACCCCAAACCCTAAACCGTCCGCCGTGACGATGCCGGTGGCCCGGCAAGGTCGGTTCCGCCCCTGGGAACGGAGCCGTCTCCGTAGTCCCATGGGTGGTTGTCAAGATTAAGGTCCCCTTTTTTGGGTCCCTGTTGATATTATTCTTATTATTACTGTTATTAAAGATTATTATTATCACTATTATTAGTATTATTACTATTCTTCTTATTATTATTGCTATTATTATTATTATAATTATTGTTTGGGTCCCTGTGATCATACGGCACCTATTATTTAGGGTACCCAACAGGGGACCTTAATTTTGACAACTGCCCACATGTAATCACTCAAGGTCGGGGACCTGTCTTCCGACGGGGAGTCCACCAAGGACCGTGCCTGCAAGTCGAGGTGCTAAGCCAAACCCTAAGCCCTAAAGCCTAGCCCTCAACCCCTGTCACCCAGTTTCAGCGTGGAGCCCGATCGGCTCAAAAGGAACACATGTGCCCAGTAGGGTCTTCAGAGACTCCCGAGACAGAATATCTTCCACACTCCCTCGCAGACTCGCTCCACGACCCCCACCGTTGAGGAGGACACAGCGTAATGCATATTTGCACTTTAGTTCAGGCCGAACCGCCCCAGGAAAGACTCGCCAAAGCCGCCATGGGCGGCCGGGGAAAGGGCAGAGCCCAGTGGGTGGCACGAGCGCCGGCAACGGCGACTCGCCCAGGTTTCAGTTACTGTTCCCTGACCCTAAACCCTCAACCTTAAACCTAGACTTCGCCTGATCGTCTTGCAAGGGCGATTTTTAAGCTCTCGCGGAGGAAGTTATGTAGAATCCTGAACGTCTGATGTTGCTCTCCATGTGGCATAGACCCCCATGTGTCGGTGGGGCGTGTTGCTTTAAAGTCGAAGTTTGTATTCCCGAAGAGCACATCGCACGTCTTTCGAGCCCTCAGTCGACCCGGTGACGGCACGCTCCTTGCCCTCATGGGTAGCGCCCAGGAAGACTGGCCGACAGCCGACGACAGGACGGTTTCCTCTTCCTGTACGTGTGCAAATGCAAACGTAACGTCGCGAACTTGAACCATCAGGGGTTGCAGGCCGTGTGTCGCATGTACTGTATTTCTGGGAGCGGTAGGCATCAGGATCATGCTGTAGGGAGAGCATGGTTGTATGCGCTACGGTGGTGTGCAAATCTCCGCAGGCGCTTTGTCACGGAGCTCAATGCACTCTCCGTCGAGCCCGGCGCTCGGCACCGTCACAGCTGAGCATGTCCCGAAGGTTTCGGGACGCAGCGTTGAGTTTTGTGGACCGGTCTTATGGTTTTGAGACAGGGAAAGGCCGTAGCTTCGGCCCCAGCCGAAACCCTCCCCAGGGCCCTCGGAGACGGGGCCAAGGTACTCCTCAGCCGGGTTTGGCGACCCGGGGCCGCTTGGCTTCAAAGGGTCGGACGTTTAGTCAGCAAAAGTGTATTGCAGCGGAATGCCAGGATGCTGATGACGACGATAGGAAGGATGATGCCGAAGATGATGCCGATGATATGGTTGCCGTTGTAGAAGTAGGAGTCGGGTAGGAGTATGAGTAGGACTGGTAGTGGGGTGGTCGAAGTAGTAGCAGTGGCACTAGCAATTGTAGAAGCAGCAGTAGTCGCAGCAGCAGCAGTTGCAGCAGTTGCAGCAGTTCAAGCAGTTGCAGCAGCAAATGGCAGTGGCCGCCCCTGCAGTTCCCATTCCAGCTCCTTATGCCTCTGCCAAGACTGCTCTTTCAGATATTTCCGCCTGTAAGCCACCTAAACCCTAAACCTCTAAACCCCAAGTCCCTAAACCCTAAACCCCAAGTCATGCGCTGATGAGAGCCTTGCTGAGGATGCTCACCGCCGGCAAGGCACGTAGGCAGCTCGCCTTCGCTGAAACTGCAAGGCCCACCGTCCAGAGTCGGAGATAACTGAGTAAACAAGAACCACAATATCAAGAGGTAACAACGATACCAGTACTTGTGCGAAGAAAAGAGTGATAATCATAATGACTCATGGATAGTGATAGTATAGTACAGGAGGCAGTCCGTTCCGTGGCAGGTCCCGAGCAGACTTCTGACCGCAGGTTCATGCGCTTTGATGCGGACTGCCAGCTATCTAACTAGCTTTCGGGATTCTAGTATAGTACCCTAAATAGTAGGATCCTTTTTGTAGGGACCCCAAAATACAGTATCCCTTAGTTTTCGGAATCTGTTTTTTGTGAGGCGCAGATGGCCAAATTTCGGCGAGTTCTGGACTGAGGAGGCGCTATTTTTTTTTAAAAGGGGTTTAGGGTTTAGGGTTTTGGGCACAGAGCCGCCAGTTTCCTGCCTTTGTCCGAACTTCGGACGGAGATGGGAGTTTCCGAAAGTTAGGGGTACTATGTTAGACACCAATTGCAGCAGGAGTTGAAGTAGTGTTCGTGGGGTTTTAGCGGTAGGTAGTGGTATGAGTATGAGTAGCTGAGATGGACTTGGTGGCATTAGCAGCAGCGAAGCTGGAGTGGCATGAGGAGTGTGTCTAGGAGAAATTTAGAAGGAAACGTGGTTGCAGCAATAGTAGGTGTAGTCAGTATCCTACTTGCAATTATGGTCTAAACCATCACGACTGTCGATTCATCATTTAAGGTGCCAATAAGTACCACAACATTCTTTATGATAGCGAAATATGCTATACCACGCTGCAACAGGCCTTCATTCACGATACTGTACTATCAAGTTATTGAGGACATGATAGTCATGCCAAAAACGCTCCGGCAGGTCCCGCAGTGGAGCACTCCCAAGGCGAGCTGGGGCTTTCGAAAGCCGTCATTTGTTTTGAACTTCTGGTTGGTTGCAGCTACTAGAGTCACTAGAGTATCGTATAGTATTGAGAGTGTGCCACAGTACATTGAAGTATGTTATAGTATATTATCTTGCATTATGAGATGCTCGAGCACATTACAGTATATTGTAGCATATTGTTGTATGTGAAAGTATACTATAACACATCCTAGCTTGTTTCGTCTCCATGCGAAGGCGTGGTGGCCCGGTGTTTCTAGGCTTTGAGACGGTGACCTGAGAGTGTAGGGGAGAGTGTCAGGTGGACCTGAAGTGTGACTTCTGGCAAGCCGGGCACAAGCGCTGCTTTGAGTCATTGGGGGGGTTCCCCCAAAGATCCCAGAACGTTCAGGGTTTCGTTTTGGGCTTGAGGTGATGTGAGCTCTGACTTCATGTAGCTGTTTTTCGGGAGATAGGAAGCACTTCCACGCCTGGAGTCTGTCTGGCTTGTTCTCCTCACAACTGGGCTTGTGAGGTCAAATCCTTTCCCCGTAAACAGTAAACCCTGAAGCCCTAAACTCCTGTTCCGAAACACCACGTCATGCCACATCCCCAGCACGAGGCTACTTGGAGGCTTTGCATCGCTACGTGCGCGGCCTCGCCTCAGATGCGGACGTGCGCGCGAAAATGCAGCTGCTGCCCGGCAAACCTAGCATCAGCAGCGGCAATAGCTGTCTCGATCGTGAAAGTGGCAGGCCAAGTAACAAGAGGAGTATTGGTCGTCGTTGTGCTGGTAGTAGTAGTTGTGGTCGCAGCTGCAGGAGTAGAGGTCATACTGGTCACGGCAGCATGTCCAGTGCCAGCAACTGTGGATAGTGGTGGTTGTGTCAGTCTTGCTACTAGACATTGTATCACGCGTGAGATCAACAGTAATGTTTGCAGTAGCAGTAACAATAATCGTGTCAGCAGCAGATAGCAACAGTAGCGATGTCACGATGCTGCCGATGATGATGGTGATGGTAGCGAGTTGCGCTGGTCCCAGGCTGTCCGATCTGGGCTTCCGACTCATTGAAAGCTTTGTCTCCGAGGAGGCCCTCGTCTGACAGTTTTGAGCTCTTTGCTGCTACTGTATCCGGCTTGTTCGTACAACATGGGAAGCTGCGATCTGTTGGCCCATTCGCAGCCATCCTGAACCCTAAACCCTCTAAACCCTAAGCCCGAAACCCTAAACCCTCTAAAGCCTACTGTAAACCCAACCCTAAACCAAGCCCTCTAAACCCTAAACCCTAAACCCCAGGAAGACTCAACTGATTCCTGGCAAGTTGTCTTTCAACTGGCTCCACCTAACAGGTATTCCGACTGTAGCAGGGAGGGAAAGGGCCCTCAAAAAAAAAAACCAGGAAGAGTCGGATCTGATGAACTACTGGTCTGCCGACGGCCCGGTCTATGCCTTGGGCACCGAAGAGCCGCTTGGGCCCGGGACTTTAGGGGTACCTTAGGGTTCCTTTAAAGGGTGAACTATAAGGGTACTATATGGGTTCCTTTAAGGGGGTGTACCGTTTTTTTAGGGTCCTGCATACATAGACTGTGGTTAAGAGTATGCGTATGATGATGATGATGATGATGATAATGATGATGATGATGATGCTGACGATGATGAGTATGAGGAGGAATACTGCTCTCGTTGCGTAGAGTGATATATGAAGATCCACCACTGAATCATTATGCATTATGTTTAGAACGACAGTGGTCTTCACGTCGAGGACGAGTATGGATGCCTGTTCAGACTGTAGGTCTTGTTCTCATTGTTGCTGCTGTCACAGAGCGTTACGACGGCACATGAAATACTAGAATTCTGCGGACACGACGGACTCCATGACCGCAAAAATGCTGCTTCTGCTGTTGTTGTTGTTGCTGCCGCTGCTGCGGCTGCAGCTACCCTGCCACCGCTACTGCTAATGCTGCGTCTAGGATGCTACTGCTACTGCTATTGCTGCTGCTTTTGCTGCTGCTATTGCTACTACTCCTGCTCTCGGCCCTCATCCTGCTACTGCGACGACGGCTACTGCTGCTACTACTACTACTACTACTACTACTACTACTGCTACTACTGCCGCTGCAGCCACTGTTCTGCTGAAGTTAGTAGTCGTAGCAGCAGGAGTAGTAGCAGTGGCAGTAGCAGCAGTACGACGACTCCGACTGCGGTGACGGTTCTCCATTAGGACCTTGCTGCTTTTCGATCAAGACAACGCAAGAAAACCGAGGAAACGGTCCAGGCGCAGATTCTTCAACTATGGTGCTTTGGCTTGTTAGTCCCATCTTTCGCCCAGAGCAGCAGAGCCTCAGCATGCCCGCAGCTACAAGAGGGTCTGAAATCATTGCCCACCTCAAGACCCTGAAGTCTGAAGCCAAAAGGTGGAGTGTCGCAGGGAAGTGTTTGCAATCAAACTAGCGTTACCAAGAAGCGCAGTCTTCGCGTCAGGGAGAGATTGTTCTGTTCTGGGAGGCTTTGCATTGGTTTTCAATGTCTATGAGGCGTAATTTTAGGTGCTTTTCCGCCCCAGATCTGCTTTTTCATGCGGTCTCTCCAATACAAAAACTCTGAGCTGAAGCAACTGTAGCTCTGCAAGTTTTACCTGAACATGTCGTGGTACTTGGTTTGGTGATTGCGGAGTACCATAAAACATACATGCACATCCCTATGACGACCAGCCTGGATCAGGTCCCATTCTCCCCAAGGAGACGCAAGGAACCACCAAATCCACCTTGTCACTTGGGCGTTCTTGGGAACTTTTTCTTGCGCAGTCCTGAACCTCCAACTCACAGATGATTTGAAGGATGAAGAATGCTGTCACAACATGTGTGACTATTCTTGTCATGAAAACTGTGGCTGGTAATGCAGCATGAAATCAGACTCCCAGCCGTAAAAGGCATGTGATCCCGAGCGTCTTCGGCGCGATGCCGCCTGTGGTTGAGAAGCAAAGGCGGGATATGCTGGACGTTACACTTGCCTACACTCTCAGAAGGTAGGGCACAGGGAGTGGAGAGCTGTTTTTGGCGGGTCCGTCGCAGTTTTGAGTCATCGACTTGCGAAATTTTGGGGATAAGCTCTTGGGAGATTTCGCCTTGACGGCAGAGGCTCCAAGCACGGATCCGCGAGTCATCGCCGGTTGCGCCGGAGGCAGAGGACGACTTCGACCAGATGTACGCCCCTGGCACCACAAACAGGGGACCCCTTTTAGCATCGGGATGAGGATGTGTGGAGTTTACAAAGGTCAAGGTTCAGTGGCACAGGACTCCCTCCATTGGCTATAGCTAGCATGATTGTCGAATCGGACGTGCCGTGGGATCTACCAGCAGAGTCCTTGCGACGTGAAGTGCAGCAAACGCTCAGTTTCGTGGTGCTTTCCATGTTTCCTCCCTTCCTGTCCCTCTATGGGTTTGCGGGGTCATGGGAAACATGTTCAGACCCTGTCGAGATGCACAGACGCTTTTTTCCTGACTGAGCTGAGGTCAATTTCTACGATTCATCGATTAACAGCACCGCGGCCGGATCCAAGACAGAATCGCAGAGCCAAGAAACCAAGTGCTGCTTCTGTAGAACCTCTTAGGCTGTGTAAGCTGAAGTAAAGCTCAACCAGCAACAACCCAGGTTATATCGATTACCATCATGACCACATGTCATGCATGAAGGGGACGCCGCTTGACTGCAATTGAGGACTTCAAGCTCGCCGTTTTGGTTGAAGCTTGCATCCAAGCCCTGAGCCATGTCCACCCAGCCTAAGTCGCCGAAACCATGAACCCTTGGAGTTGTGCTCCGGCTCAGGGTGGCTGGCGTGAGCCTGGGCTCCGCCTGCAGGCTGCTGGACGTTCAGCTTCCAAGTTCGGGGATTCCTCCAGGCCCCAAATCCCAAACCTTACAAAACTCCACAACCCAAAACCCTACATCAGGACTGGGTCCCCGGTTTTGGCCTGCCAGCCGCAGATTTGGAGAATGAATATGTGGACATAGCCCTGATTGCTGCTGCAGCTGTCGATCTTTATATCATCAGTTTCTCATTGCGGCTGTTGCTTTTGCTTTCATGATCGTTGTGATGAGCTTTGCAATGGTAGGACCGAGGCTAGGAGTCTAGGTGGTGGTGATGGCGGTGACGGCGGAGGCCTGGGCGGCGGCGGCAGTGGTGGTGGGGATGGTGGTGATATTGTTGGTGGTGGTCTTGGGCGTCGGGGTGGTAGAGTCATTTTCTATGAGCAACAATAATCATAATGTCATTCTCATTCTGCTTCTTATTGTTGTTGGTGTTTGCACCAGCATTTTGTACAAAATTACCCTTGGTTATTTGCAGAAGCAGCAGCTGCAGAAGCAGCCGCAGCAGGACGAGCAGGAGGAGCGGGAAGAGGAGGAGCGGGAAGAGGAGGAGGAGGAGTAGTGCGACAACGGTACTGCCACCAGTGAGGGAGGTAGTCGTAATTGTGCGCACGAGCATTTTGTCGCCTCAGGCTTCGGCTGAGACCTCTCGAGTTTCGGGTCGCTGACGAAGCGCTGTGTCCCTGGATGGAAGACTGGAGAAGGCTTGAGGCTTTAGGGCTTCAAAGTTTAGCGAAGGACTTGGGGTTTTGAGTTAGACCCTAAACCCAAAACCCTAAACGGCCTTAAACCCTAAGCCCTAAACCCAAAACCCTAAGCCCTAAACCGGGTTGCGTTCGGGAAGGAAGAGATCGGCAGCCTTCCGGTCCAAAACGCTTTCGCCCCGCCTCCGCTAAAGCCAAAGGTAGGAACCTGAGACTTCTCTTATGGTAACTTAGACCTTGAACCCTAAACCATCCTAAACCCTTAAAGCAACCTTCGTAGATCCCTATTATGGCAACCCTAAACCATCCTCAACCCTTAAAGCAACCTTCGTAGATCCCGATTATGGTAACCCCCAAAAAGCCCTAAAGCCTAACGCCTGAGGCATCGATCTCCCCAGCCGTTCCCTCTTCTTCTTGAGCGGCCTTTCCCGCTGGCACCTGCAGCACGCTATCATGGACATGAGGCCACCGGAACTGGAACTTCCCGGGGTGCCTCAGAGCTTGAGGGTTTCGGCTTTCGGGCGGTATGGTGTTTCGTCTTCAGAAAATGGGCGAAGAACTCCCAAAAGCTGCAAAAGTCAGAATTATCGGACCTGCTCGACCAGACGTGAGCTGTGGCAGGCATGACCGACTCTCCCTGACTTTCCGGACGGTGGATCGGCAACGCGACTTCAGGCTAGATTTGAGCATTGCCGGCATCATTGCGGCTTAACGGATACGGTTGAAATGAGGCTGTTGCAAAGCTTCTGTTTGGGATAGAAGGGGCACCAAGAACAGGAAATCCGAAGATTGGACGGTAAACCCTAGTCAAATTATTCAGGTCCTATATTATAGAACCCTACTATAGATCCCTTAAAGACCCCACCCGTGCTTGCTCTTCAGAGGCGCCTCAGATGGCATCTGAGGTCTGGAAGCCGTTCGCAGCTCTGGAACCGCAGCTGGGCACAGCTTCGTGGAGCGGAGGTGCACGCCGCTGGAAACCCTCGACGGGACCTCGACCCTACGCCGTGCTAAACTTAGCCCTAACAACCCGTATGTTTGGGTATCTTATCGTATACTTGGTATTACAGTATACACTGTATATTGTAGCCTGTTATGGTTGGTTTATGGTTTGTTATAGATGGTTTCTGTACATTGCCTCCTAACACCCCGGAGCCCTAGAGCGCCTGTGCCATAAAGGCCTTGAGGCCCGAATGACAGTTCTAGTCGCTGCCCGTGGGACTTTCTCAGTGATCCACACGCTCTGGCAAGGCAGCGAATGCTCTATGGCCTTTGGCCGCTTTCCTGAAGGAGTTTTTCTTCCAAGTTGCGGTCCTTTGTAAGCTTGCTGTCCAACATGAAAGTGGGAGTCCACCCTGGAGTTCCGCTCTACAGTAGTTAACCGAACGTTAGAATCGCTTGAGCCTGCGAGACGAGAGTTGAGGTGACTCCAGAGGGCTGGGAGTTGCACCGCCTGGAGCGTTGGAACTGGCGTGGCTCGCCGGCAAACTTTCCATCAAGCCTTGTAGGCTTTCTAGTGCGGGGTCGGGTCTACGTGCTTACATTGGCATGCCTTCCCAAGACAACCGAATTTTGCTTCGACCAGTGCTACGTCTACGGCATAACCTGAATCCTCGGAGCAGCCAGCATTGCGGACTCTGGATGCCACTGCTGACGCCCCTTGAGGTTCCGAAGAGCCGGAAAGTCACAGCTACTACCGCGTTCGACGTTCCAAGGGTGCAGGGCCAAGATGTGGGGAAGTCGGACAATCTGACCATCACTATCACTCAACATGACTAACATCGGCATCATCAGAACCCTCCAAGCTTCATGGGCATGTTCCACTGCGCTGAGGCGGGGAGACTGCGGCGACTGGGAACTCTTCCAAGACCGCCAGCGGGATGCAGGCTCTCCGAGTCCCCAGCCTGTCGTGATTCGTGTTCAAGCGAATGATCATCATCAGGGCTGTTGACAGCAGCAGGGTCTCACCGTTACTGTGCCCATCATCCTCGTCCCCCTCCTCTGTCCCCCTCCTGTGCCTCCTCCTGGTGCTACCCATCATCATATCAGCACCGTGACCATCACCATCGCCATTGTATCAGCGGTTCGCATGTCCAGGCCGCGGGGTGTTTCTGGCGTGCGAGGTTCCAAGTTGGCTCCGAAGCTTGAAACCAAGGCAAGAGCCCCGGGACACAAACCGTTTGACCCGTTCAGGGCGAGGCCCACAACGGCGCTGCAGAGTGGCCAACTCCCTCCCGGCTCGAGGCGTCGCCTTGGGTGCCGTTTCTCTTTTCCGGAGGGCTTGCTCTTCGACATTTGCACGGGTGCCTGCAGAGTCGTGTGCATTGGCCCCGGGTCTGTGAAAATTGAACCAAGACCCTGGAAGCGTCCAAGAAACCGAAGTCTCAAGATGCTCGAAGCCGCGAAGAGCGCCTCGAAGGACCTGGGCCACTTCTTTGAGGGCAAGTCTGCGGGCCGTCAGAAGGGCCGGGGGCGCAGCTTCTACCGAGTCGGGGGGCCCAGCCGAGGTCTGAGACTCGAAGGCCTTTGTTTGGGCCCCTGGAGAATAGCATAGAATAGCACAGTGTAACTAAGCCTAAGCTCGAAATCCATAAAAAACGCCATGAGTGCCACCCTGAAGTGCAGGTTCATTTGAGACGCGGAGGACAGGTGCCCAAAATACTCTCAACCCAAGCAGGTTCAGCACGGGACGTGGAAGATCCCGCACGAATCTTGAGACTCTATGCTGTAGGCGTCAGCATCTTCGTCACATATCGTGACCGTCGAGGGTACAAGTCATTGTCTCCTGCTTCCCCTCAATGATCAATGTCAAGCACAGCTCAGATGTCGGAACTGGTCTCTATGACATCGCCACTGTTGGCCGTGTCACATCATGCCATATCATCAAGATCATTTTCAAGATCATTATCAAGATCATTATCAAGTTCATCATCAATATCATCATGATTTTCCTCCGCCTCCTCCGCGTCATCTTCCTGTCATAGCTGTCCTGCATTTCTTCGGACAAGCATGTCGAGCAAGGCTCTTGAAGGTGAACCGCAGGCCATGCTGAAGTCCTAGACCCCCGAGATGTCGAATGTAGCAACAGGCCCAGGCCCTCAGCCCCCGACAAACAGTCACCGAAGCCCTGTGCCAGCCGCGGCAGCAGCAAGTGCAGCAGCTCTTCGAATGCGCTGAGACACTGCACGACGCAGCGCGGCGGCGGGGAGAAAAGGGCCCTCCGCTTCTTCCGAGCGACCGCGCGACCGACTGCTTGAGCGCAGGCCCCGAGCTTTTGCGAGAGCCTTGGAAATGTCCGCAGGAAGAGCTGTCCGCCGTCCTGACCTACCAGGAACTCCGAGTGAGGGCTGTCTCTTGCTTCGGGTCTCAGGGAGCCCGGGGCAATCTCCGAAGCTCCTCTGAAGCCTCCAAGCCTGAATACTTCCATCCTCCGGCGCCAGCGAAGGTTGTGAGAAGTATTCCTTATCGTGGTCCCGATATAGGTGTAGTGTCAAAGACTATACCCATCTACACCCCAAAAAACCCTATGGTCCCTTAGTATCAAATACTCTGCCCCCAAAAACCCTCATCAAGGGCCCCCAAACACGGGCCCGGCCAGGAGAGCCTGGCCAAGCAGTGCTACGACGGTGGCCTCTCCTACGAGGAGAAGGCGGCGAAGCGCCAGGACCGGACCGCTTACCGCCTCCTTGTAGGAGGCTTGAGGCCCTCAAGGCGAGAGTAGAGCGGATGAAAGCTGAGTTAGGCTAAGCCCACATTTGCGGGGATTTCTGAGCCCAAAGCCCAGCGGAGCCCAAAGCCCAGGAAGAGATCGACGGGCTCAAGGAGGCGTTGGTGTCTCTGGGTGGCACGGCTCCTTGGCTCTATCATTAGATGAGGGTTATGGTTATGGGGTATGTTGCAGTACATAAGTATATTATATTAATGATATTATATTAAATCATCTCATCGTATGATCTCATACTAGGCTATAACTATAATAAGGACCCCCCCAAAAAAAACAGATGTCACAGCAGCGGTGTTCTCCACCTCGATAGCTCCGGGGCCTTTCTGCGACGGCCGAGGATCTGACGGCCGTGTTGCTCCAGAACAAGGCCGTGGCAACGCACCCTCGAACACCGTCACGGGTGGAGCTCTTCTGGTTTAGATGGGCACTTACTGCATCAGAACTTGAGGCGCGGGGCCCGGTACCCAAAACCAAAATAAAAGCAAGGAGAGGTGAAAACATGGTCATAGGAGTTATACAGGTGAGACCGGCGCATGAAGCATCTGCCGTCACTTAGATGACGCCATGGTGCTGCCCCTGAGTTGCTCAGCGAAGCGCATTCTCATGCCCTCCAACACCTGACCCGCTTGCGTGCTGTCGGGCCGTTGGCAGGGCCTCCGCGGATCCGTGAAGCACTGAGTCCCGAGACCACGGCAGAAGCTCGTTCCCAGAGCGAGCAAAAAGTTCGATGCGCGAGATCATGTGTGAGGTTCCGGTGAAAAAGGCACATCAGTTGGGGTTTGGCCATCATGGATCGTGGGCGCAACACTCGCCCATCCGAGAGCAATTCCAAGCTCATTGCATTGCTTCACACATTGCCATCAAAGGGAAGACTGTAAAGCACCGACACATCCGCGTGAGACTTAAAAGATCGGACATCATGGGACTCGGTCAACTGTTGCACTAACGCCGACATCTCTCGGCACCCAATGCACGTTGAAGTGTCGTGTTTTGTTCGGGAACTTCTTGGCTCGCAGACGCACCGGAGAGTGCCACACGGAACAAGCCGAGATAAACCCAAGAAGATAGGTATCGACATTACTTGACCCAACCCGGCAGGTTTTGGTAAGCCATGTGCCGCCAAGTACAGCCCTTAGCTAAGTCCTCGAACACGACCTGGATGTGAATCTGAGCCAAACACGTCAAGTTAACTCCGGCCCCCTTCAAGGGCTTAGGCATGACTCGTGAGTCACGAGCAGGACCACCCAAGCATATCATTTTGGACAGGCAGCCACAAAGATCACAGGACGATCGCTCTTTATTACACATCATAGGTCATGTCGCACCGAAGGCCCCATGCTTTCAAGGCCGGCCTTTTCTCGAGCGCTTGGTTTCGTCCTTGGTCGGAGTCCCGCATCATCCTGCCTCAAGTTGGACTCCCAACACCCTCCGGAACATCGCGAGATCCGTGGCTAATCCGCAACACCCAAGTCTAAACTAAACGAAGACGGAACACAAGCCAGCCAGTAGCTCGGGGGCATCCCGGAAGGCCCTCTGGAGCCCTAATCCGAAGCTCTCCTCCGGGCTCTTGCGCAGATATTGTGCCCGGAGCCGCTAGCCTCGGGCGTGCCTGGCCCCGGTTTTTCATTCCCAGTTTTGTGCAGGGTGTTGACTTTGTTCATGGCTTTTATGATTTTTCGGTTTCATGATCATGACTATGACGATGGTCACCATGATTATGATTATGGTTGCGACGTTAAGGGCCTCTCGTCCCCTTACCTTGACGTTGTTGGCATGATGCGTGGGGTTGACTTTGTGGTTTGCACTCGTCCTTCGTGGAGGAGGTTCAGGGCGGTTGTGACAGCTCTGTTTGGGTACCTCAGTATTTCCGCACAGGCTTTAGGGTGCAATCACAGGGCGCAGATCCTGGAGTCACGAGACGTCAGAAGCCAGATGGACCAAGGTGCTCGGGCACCGAGGGAGCACCAAAGACCGCATCCAGGCTGGGAGCTGAAAGAGGGATATCAGCTCCATGCCAGCACAGTCGGAAGAGCCTCCAAAAGTTTCGAGCTCCGGACTTTTGCAAGTCTCCGACTCTTCTCTCGCCATGCAAAAATTGCAGGATGAGTGCCACTGCCGCCTCGTCATGAGCAATCGCGTCCGCAACCCGGGCCTGCAGTTGTAGGCTGCCAAGGCGGGTGCAGCGAAGGGCTCCGAAGGCAATTTGTTAGGTTGATCTGGTGGCAAACCCATCTCATCCGCGCGTCGCCGGGGCAATTCGACGGCATGAATTTGAGACTTCCGGTTTGAGACCCTCGCTGCCTTACGGTGCCTGGTTAGTTCGCGCCAGCTGGGCCGCTTCCGTATGTCAACTGAGGACGAGTTCTACCCTGGCACACGCCTGCGGTTGGTGGTGATCCAAGCTGAGGAACAGCTCTCGTGCCCCTGCCATGATTTGGAATCTTTGCAGAGAGGCTGCGTCGCTTAGCTGACGGTACTTTGCATCAGCGACACGCTGTAGGGGCCCGCGGAAGCCTGAAATGTATCATCCCTAATCCACCGAGAAGCATGGCAGGATCCTCAAGGCCCTAGACAGGCCTTGGGCAGGGAGGGATGGCGTTTGTCCAGATTTCTCTGCTAGCTGCCAAGGGGTCGCATCGGTTCCAAGAAGGTGGCACGTGGTCGTGGTTAGAGTTGTTTGATTGGGGAGAGGGGTGCTGGTCCTGTTCTGCTACCTCGGACAACTGCGATAGGATCTTGAGGTGCTATTTCAAGATTACTCTGATCCAGTTTGTCTCCTGAAAGCCAGACATGCTAGACTGCTAGACCCGCCGCTCTGGACCAGACCTGCTGCTGTACTCTCCTTGCGCTCCACAAAATTCATGTTGCTCCAATCCTCCATGCTTTAAAAGGTTGACTTCAGTTCAAAGCCGCCAAACTCCTCAACATGGCATCGTAACCCTAAACCCTAAACCCTAAACTCTAAACGCCTAAACCCTAAACTCTAAACCCTAAACCCTAGACTCTAAACCCTAAACCCTAAACTCTAAACCTGGAGTCGACAGGGTGCTGGACCTGCTGGCGGAGTGCGCAGAGACCGAGCGTTTGGGCCTTCGGTTTCGGTGGAGCGCTCCGTGGCTCCCTCCCAACAAAGACCCAAAACCCTAAACCCTAAAATCACTAAACCCTAAACCCTAAGCCTAAGAAAACCCTAAACCCTAAAGTCCAAAAAAAACTTTAAAATCCCTAAACCCTAGAATCTAGAAAAGAAAACCCTAAACCCTAAACATCCCTAAACCCTAAACCGCTGCTGAGGTCAGAACCCGAACGGCCGCACTGCTGTGCAAGGCGAGCCCGATTTCCTGGGCAAGGCCGGGCCCCGGAGGGCTTGCGGCTTTCAGGATCCGGGAGTTTCCGAAAATAAGGCGGTACCTTATTTTGGGGTCCTTATAATAAGGATCCTACTTTTTAGGGTACTATATTAGGGTCCCCCATTTTCGGAAACTCCTATCCGGAGCTTGGGGTTTTAGGGCTTTGCTGCCGTGGAGGGCTTTGAGGCTTTCCTTTGGGGTGTGACTTTCGGGTTGTTTTTTTTGGTTCGGGCACTTACTTCCTCAATTTGTGCACGATGCATTGTATTTTTGTTTGAAGAGTTCCCGTTGAAAAGGATGCCTTGAGTAGCTGGAGTTGTGAAGAAGAATTCCAGACCTGAAGAAGAACAAAGCGTCGTCTCCGAACTGCTGATTCCAGCTTCAGCTTTTGCCAGGAGCATGGGGAGCTGGTTTTGCGTGCCGCGGTGCCGTGAGGGCCCTTCCAGCCTGGCAAATCTGACAATACATCGTCAGAATCGTACCGACAACTCCATTATCAGCATCACCAATCACCACCTTTGCCAGTACGGCTCCGTGAAGCCGAGTTCCTCTTTGCAGTGTTCATGGGTAGGCTTCAGTACGCAAACCCGCAAGTCATGGCACCAACACCCGCCCGGCCCGCCCCATGCCTCAGTAGCACAGCCGCACCGGCAGCAGTTCCCGCAATAGCCAGTGGTGCGCAGAACTATGAAGGAGGACGGCTTTGGCAGGAGTAGTCGTAGTGGTTGCTGTCATCGCATTTACAGAGTTGGTCGTTGTCGTCGGCATCGCAGTTGCAGCTACATTGAGCAGGGGACACCCTGGATGTTTCGCCTGTCGCAGTGCCAAGGTTCCGAGTCGGTTCCGCCATCATCGGGCCCAAAGGGGCCCATGTGCAAGCGCTGAAAGAGGCAAAGCCGGGAAAGCCGGCAGGGATTGGCAAGAGATGCTCGTACACATACCCGGGATCCAGCACACTTGGGGGCTTGTGAAACAAACGGATCTGCTAGTTCGTCCACCCTTGCAGGAGGCTGGCGCTAAGATCATCATCGACAAGGAGCACCAGCCCCTCGGCTTGTCGACCAAGGGTCGTGTCGAGCACTACACAAGTCCAAGGGGTGCAGGGAATGTACTATCCGAGTGCACAGATAGCCAAGAACTGCAGCAAGGACACAAGTGGTGAGAGGAAGGGTGAAATCATAACGGAGGTTGATGTGATTCCGAGGTGCGCAGAAGCGGTTGAATCAGATACGACAGCGTGAAAACAGACATGATTGAAGGGAGGAAGGAGCGAATCAACGACCGAACGAACAAACCAACGAATGAACCAACGAATGAATGCATGAGTGAATAACGAAAAGTATTGACCTGGTCATCTGTGGATTCTGTTGTTTTTTTGATCTAATTATTGGTCTATCCATCAATCTAGCTGTCCATGTTTCTCCCTATTTGTCTACCTAACTGCCAACCCATGTGTCTACCTCTATCTGTCTATCTGTCGATCTATCATTGTAAGCTACCCAGGCTTCCGGCTAGTCCATGTTCCGGAGCTGCGCCGTTCTTTAGCAGCGACTTAATGCCGTCCAAGACGGGAGTCCCGCGCCCCGAGAGACGCGACCTGATCACATCAGGCCAAGCATGAACGTACTTTAAAACCTTCGCGCTGAGTCAATGCTGCTCTACTGCCATGCCTATGTATGGTCACACTCTACTTGTCCATGTTTCTGATCCTTTTTTGGGAAGCTCTTGCTCTTTTTGAAGTTCGGTTTGCGTTGTTCCGAGGCAAGGCCACCAGGCCTGTCGCTTGGCTGCGCGGCCCGAGGGCCTCAGGAGCCTCTTTCGGGAAGGGAGCTTGTCAGGAAACCCCGAGGCGAAGATGACATGAATAGGTTCGTCACCATAAGGAGCAGCATCAGCATTTGCATCATCTTCATCATCTTCATCATCATCATCACCATCATCATCATCATCGTCATCGTCATCGTCATCATCATGGGATCAAGGCCCGCTTGTAGAGTGCAGCAACCAGAAGCCGTGTGTAACGACCCTGCAGGATAGTGCTGTCCCGCATCAGTGATTACATGGCAGAAGATGCTGCCCAGAGGCCTGAGACTCCTGGACTCGATGGCAGGGCTCAAGCAAATCTGCATTGGACAGCTTGTCATGCAAGGAGCAGTCATTGCAAGTTGAAATGTCAGCTAGCCATGCAAAGACGGGATTTGCTGTACAGGCCGAGTGAGTTCGACAGCTGGGCGCCGTTGACTCAGATTCGATTTAGCACACCGAAGAACTGATGCTTCGCCTGCCGAAGGGTCCCAGACCCACGCTGGAATTGCAGGTCCATCCGGAACTTCGGCCAGCAGGAGGAGATTTTTTACTAGTAGCATGCCCCCAACCCCGAGCGGTCAATAGCCCAGTGGTTAAGCCTTTGTTCTTGTACTCCTTTGTGCTAGTTTCGAACCCCGACCCCGTCATCTGCAGCACTTCGGCTGTTTGTAGTAGTATTGGTATTAGCAACCAGTGGAACGACGATCCTTGCCTCCTTTCAGACTGCAGGACGGACACGGCGGTTACGGCCAAAGCCATAGCCGTGACGGCCATGGAAGAGACAGCTACTCTCGAAACGGCAGGGAAAGCTATGGCCGGGAAAGCTACGGCCGGGAAAGCCATGGCCGTGAAAGCTACGGCCGGGAGGGCTATGGCCGGGAGGGCTATGGCCGGGATGGTGGGAGGGATGGACACAACAGCTACGGTGGTTCTCCAGCAAGTCACGGGGGTCAGGGCCTCATCAGTTAGAACATGCCTTGCCTATTTTGCGCTATCGGCACCACCCACCCCAAAAAGAGAAATACCAATCCCAAGAACTTTTTTTATTCCCAAATACCCGTATCCACCCAGGTGCCATAGCCCAAAATCGGCAGGCAAGGTCTGTTCTAACTTCATCTGCATCTCCGATTCGTCAAGGACTTGAGCCCAAAGGCTCTTTTAGGGTTTAGGGTTTATCTAAACCCAGCCCAGCTGCCCAGGTCACGCCCAGGGCCTGAGAGGCCGCAGCCCTGGAGCCGAGTTGCCGACTTCGGGGACCATATCATTCATTCGATGCGATGGAGTCTGTAAAAGACGCACGCCTAGCACAAGTGAATTCAAACTGCACTTAGTTAAAGCTGAGGGCAGTATGCACTCACAAGGTATGTGGCGCAGAAATCTGCCGACACTGCGATGGCCGGCCAGACTGCTCTATGCAAGACCGAAAAGCCCAAAGAGTGCATAAACTAAGCACTGCAAAACACATGTAGGTAGTTCAAACATGTAAAAGCGTGCTGTACAGAGCGGCAAAGCCCAAGAAACACGCTGTTGAAGCTCTGAGGTGTAATTAAACCAGCAAGTACAGAGCCAGAAAAAACTGTACTCTCACGTGCCCGTCACAGCACGACAAGTGAACCAATCGGCAGTGCAGCGGCGAAGCTTTCCCTCTACCCAGATACTGCCAAGGCCACACATGTACTTTTACAGCATCTCCCTACGCGATGCTGTTCACCAGCTTGCCACCGGGATCCCACGAAGCACCAAACTCAGCACTGACACAATCCCAAATGTCAGGGCTAAGGACTTGCAAGACGCACTCGCCGGTCAGGGGAACTGCGTAGAACAGCGCCTTACGCACGATGCGACTGAGCTCTCCGAAACTGAAGGCCGCATCATCCTCCTCGACCATGCCCTTCACGAAGTCAGATGCCTTGATGGCCACTCGCCGTTTGCCTGCAAAGGTCAACCGGTGCTGATCTGCGGGGGGCTTCATCTGATCCTGGCTCATATCAGTTACCGTTGCGACGGTGTCCAAGACTGCCATAGTCGCGCTAGCAATCCCACGCATCAAAGGATTCATGGACATCTGCATCGTCGGAAGGCTCTCCCACTCACCTTGCCGCACCTCACTCGCCATGAGTACGCTGCGATCGTGAGGCAGATCACTGAGGCTCGAGAAAAGACATCTACCCCGATCTACGGCATCCGAAGCTGTAGGCCATCTGATTCCCTGAGCAGCCGTTTCGGCCATCCTCCGGATTGCATGCTTCCGAGAATGCAGCTCAACCCCCAGCCGCCGCTCCAAAGACAGACGCAGTGCCTGAAGCGACACTGCAACACCATCAGAAACCTCCAGCATTGCATAACTGACCAAGTCCTGGGTCAAACTGGTCACACCGTCCTCACAGAGAAAGCTTTCAGGGTCTGTTTGCCGCAGACCGAAGGCAGCATCAGAGGCCATGGCGTTCCACAATTCCCTAAGGGCGATTTCAGGTGGAACTGGGGCACAACGATTGTCCGGCGCAGTTGCCGGCGATTCGAGCCCTGGGGACCATATATCTATATATATATATATATATATATATATATATTTAGGGACCCCTGAAGTTTTTGTTTCTTGCGCCTTTGGCTCAAGTACTTGGGCTTTGAACCTTGACGAGTTGCTCAGTCCTGGAGTTGAGGTGCCCTTGATGGCAGTTGGGGACATCGATGCCGCCAGCACCCGTTCATGATGGTGTGCATGGCGCTGGTGCAGTTTATGACGCCGGGCTTGGCTTTCTTTTATGGAGGCTTAGTGAAGGACACCAGTGTTCTCACTATGATGATGCAGAGCTTTGTGTCAATGGGAGTTGCCAGCATCATCTGGTTCCTTTTTGGGTATTCTTTATGCTTCGGGGAGAGTCTCTACTTCATTGGGAACCCCTTCACGCACTTTGGCTTCAGGGGACTGAGTGTCAACGAGGCACTCATGACCGGCGCATTTGCGGACCGTTTTCGATTCAAGCCGTACTTGGCATTCATTGCCCTCTGGCTTGTGTGTGTTTATGCGCCGTGGTGCCACTGGGTCTGGGGCGGAGGATGGCTGGCGCAGTGGGGTGTGAAGGATTTTGCCCGAGGCATTGTGGTGCACGTCAACGCGCGATTCTCCGCCCTGGCAAGCCTCATTGTTGTGGGCAAGCGCCAAGTCTCGGAAGAGGACCTAGAGGACCACGACCGACCTCACAATGTCCCCTTTGTTGCTCTCGGAACTGCCATGCTCTGGTTTGGTTGGTTCGGCTTCAACGCTGGATCAGCACTGGCAACTGGATCGGTGGCTGTTGGTGCAGCTGTGAACTCTGAGATTTCGGCTTCTGTAGCCTTGTTCCTCTGGCTCCTCACTGACTGGGTTCGCAACGGCCGCCCCGGCTTGGTTGGACTCTGTGTGGGTGCCATCGCCGGTCTTGCCACCATCACGCCGGCTGCTGGATTCATCCAGCCCTGGGGTGCCTTCATTCTCGGCATCGTCGCCACTTTCTTCTGCTACGCGTGCTGCGAACTTCGAAAGCAGCTGGGCTTCGATGATGCTCTCGATGTGTGGGGCGTCCATGGTATGGGCGGCTTCATGGGCACGGTCTTGCTCGGGGTGCTTGCTGATCCGGAGGAATGCGGTCCCGGGGCTCTGGAGGCGGCCCCAAGCGACTGTGTGAACCCCGGGCAGGTGACAGCTGGGATCGAGCAGGTCGGAAAGCAGCTTGTTGCAGCTCTACTTGCTGCCGTTTACTCTGTACTCGTGACGCTAATGCTGCTGAAGGCAATCAGCTTTTGCATGGCTTTGAAGCCGATTGGGACTGGAGGACTTGACCTCACCGAGCACGGTGAGATGGCATACCACAGCCCTGTCCGCCAGTATATTCAAGAGCCCATAAAGCTTCGGATGACGACTCGGTGGTTTGAAATGCTTGAAGGCATAGACGGTTCTTTTGCAGCCGCATTCCGGGGGACAGGGTGCCAACAACACCCGTAAAGTTTTGGCGGATGAAGGATGCAGCTTGGAAAAGGAAGCCCTTTCTCAAAGCCGCTTGACCCACGGCTTCACTGATTGACCCGCAGCTGCGCTTTCATCCGTGTCGCAGTGGAGCTGCACCCCCTTGGCCCTTCCAATTCACGGCAATTTTTGGAATTTGCAGAAGCAGCCAGAGGGCTGCCCCATGTCTCGAGGTCTTGACCTCCTGTAGCGCCTTCTGCAGGAGACGGTTCTGCTACAGGATATAGCTCTACCAAAGAGTTGTCCATGTTTTTAAAGATGTTGGAGCCAGATTGCCGACCAATTTCTTTGAGCAGTTTTGCAGAACAGACTTATAGAGTTGTAGAGCATGACTTTGTCACCCCGCTGAAGCACGAAGCCTCCGTCTAGTTCCACGAGGCTAATGCGCTCGGCAATCTGCAGCCTGCTTGAGACTTCAATCGTAATGCGCTTAAAGGTGCGAGATGCATGCCGTTCCTTCATGTCGACATTCCAGGAACAACTTCGCTTGAATATTTTACAAAGTGCTCGCAGATACTTGCCTTCTGGCCCGGCTACAAGGCACGCGAGAACCCCATCGGTTGGCGGGACACGTTTACGCTGCCGCAGCAGGAGGAGAAATCTCAAAGCAACTGAAAAGCCTTAACCCAAAACGCTAAAGGCTCTCAAAAAATCCTAGACCCTGGAACCCTAAACCTTTCTTGCCTCAAAGATCGAGGTCCTGGCGCCACGTCTTGGGACCAGGCTGGTGGCCAGGGCCGCAGATAGGGTTGTGAGTTATAGTCTACCTTTTTGGATAACAAGGAACACCAAAATAGTATGTATTGTAATAGGGAACCCACAGTAGTATAATATATTCATAATAAGGAACCCCATAATACAGTATAGGTCACTGGTAAGGCCCCTATGTTTGGGGCTGAGAGCAGAAGGGACGGCCGGGGTTAAGGCTGAGCTTGAGGCTAAGGAGTTTGCCCAGGAGTGGGGTTCTAGCTGTAGGGTGATATAAGGTTAAGCATTTAAGTACTCTAGCACTACAGTATCATAGTCTTATAGTATTAGTCTTCTCGTATGATCGCATTTTGGTACTATAGTATTACAGTATGATCGTGCTATCGCATTTTTCGGTCTTGGAAGCCAGAGCTTCTTGATCTGGGATCCTCGGTATCGGGTGAGGCTTCGGGCTCTCGAGTTTGCAGCTCTGGACCTGGAAGATCGAAGGTCTGATACAGGGGCCTTAACAATTAGAAATAGGGATTCCTTGAATCAATGGTTCCTTCAAAGGGGTCTATAAGGGATCTATAAAGAAACCCCCAATATGGGAGTTTCCGAAAATAAGGGCGTACTTTATTTTGGGGGTAGGTATATTAAGGATCCTACTGTTTAGGGTACTGTGTGAGGGTCCCCTATTTTCGGAAACCCCATATAGGGCCTGAATAATTAGAATAGGGTTTTGGGGGGCCATTACTATAGTTGTAATAAGGAACCCCTCCAAAAAATATTTTAGGCATTTATAAAGGCCCCTATCTTAGGCTTGCGGGTTCTGGTCTCGCATGCAGGGTTGAAGGTTCAGACTTGTGCCTGGCTGGGCCGGTAACATATGGGTAGTGGTCAAAGTTATGGTCCCTTGTTGGGTACCCTAAGTATTAGGTGCCGTACTATATTAGGGGCCCAAAAAGAGATCATAATTTTGACAACCACCCCTATCTTACGATGCGGTGCGATTATGGCCTGATGTGCAGAAGCGAAGCTTACACCGCAGTAGGTGCAGCGACGCGGATGTTGTTTGGGGCTTGACGCCTTCCGGCATGGGGGGTAAACCATGTCGACGGCCAAGTTACTAGACTTCCTGGGGGAACACTTAAATTCAGCCCTTGCATCTGCGGAGTGAGGCCTGCAGCATTCGTCCCATGCCACAAGACTTGTACGTCTAGAACCCTTGTAGAATCTCTTTGGAACCCCCTTAAGACTTATTAATTATGCGTTGGACAGCCTATATAGCCCTATGAAACCGTAAACAAGCCGGCGAAACTGTGTCAGCACTTATCCAACCTTGACAACCCTGTTCAACCGTATACGACCCTATACAAGCTTATAAATCCCCACACAGGCCTACAACAGTATACCACCCTATAAAACTCCTACGCAACCCTACAAACCTCTCCAGATTCATGAAACGACCAACCCTGTAAGAGCTTAGCAACGCCTATACAATTTACAACCCTCTGTAACTCCGCAGAACTCTCATACAACCCTTAGAACCCTATGAAACCCAAAGCAGCACCTCACAACACCTCACAACCCTCTGGGTACTCTGAGGCGCCCGGAGTCGCAGTCCAGGTACCGTGGGACCTCGTGCGAATTGGAATTTTTTGATTGGGTGATGTTGAGGTTTGCGTCTGTGTACGCAACAGCGTGAGCTCTGGGGTCTTCAGCCGAGACACGGTTTGGGGCAGATTGGGGCAAGAGCGGAACGGGTTCCGGTTCCAGGTCAGAATCTTGTGTTCAATGCTTTGCCGGGCATGGACAACCCATCTACAGCTCTGTCAGCTTGTCTCGGTACTGGCACTCTGAGCCCAACGACAGCTATTCCGCTGTTGGGGATACCCAAGGGGATTATCACATATATACATATATACATATATACATATATACATATATACATATATACATATATACATATATTTTTTGTATCTACACACGCATCTATCCACCCTTGTGTACACGCATATATACCAAGCCCTGAACCTACACCCTAGGCCCGCCTGCAAGACGGGAACAGTGGACAGCACAAAATGGCAAAGCCCCCGACGCCTCACGAAGCGCCGATTCAAAACACGCTCGATAGCTCCCCGGAGCCCGCACTAACCCCGACACATCCACTTCCCCTACCACCTTCCCAACAGCACTTCCCTCAAGGTCAACCTTCATTATTGTGGGGAGGTTTGGGTGCTTGGGGCTTTTAAACGTGAAGCTTTTAGTAAGGCTAAGGGTGTGGATTTTTGACGATTAATGATTACTCTTTCGTGTACAATGGCGGGGCGATGCTCGGAGATCGCGAAGATGATGCAAGAAAGCAGTCACCAGCCGCTGTGTAAGCCCGACGCAGCGACACAGAAGGCCGCTTTGCAGCAACGAGGGCACACCTGCCTGCAGCTGGGCCCCTGGAGGCCCAGCGGTCCTTTCAATTGGAGGGTCTGTAAGAGTGTCCCTGATTGTCTACGACTCCTGCTTGAGTTTTGGATGTACAGTGGCGCATGGAGGCAACTTCTGCTTGATCCAATCTTAAGAGCATGGTTTCCTGTGCATCGGTCTTGCACGCCGAACTCTTGACCGAAAAGCTTTGTTTTGGCATCCGGGTATACGAACCTCAATTAGTGCTAAGACGACGCCTTCCACCTGTAGACTGTAACATCAGGGAGGCTCGTGAAGATGCGTAGACGCTTCGCACCTCGCTTCTGCGTAGCTATGGGAAGGCGGTTGCTGCCGTACTTGTAGAAGAATCATCTGGGCACTCGCTTTCAGAACTTCGGTCGTGCTGGTGGCCAGGAGGGGTCTGGACTTCAGATTTGTACCCTACTGAACCCCAAGATCTCCCTTTGATGCTAGATGCTGGCATCGGCCCTCAGCGGAATGCAACCGGGGGCCGTCGACTACGAGCATCACGGCTGATGTTGTTGCGGCTTCGTCGAAGTGCCATGATTTTACAGGCATGCTTCAGAGTTTGGAGGTGACCCAGAGATCCGTCAACGCAGCTGTGTCAAGTGTATCGTGCTTGTGGTGCAGTTGCTGCTCCTGATGGGTTGTGGCGGTGTAGAGTAGAAGTTGCACCCAGGTACGAGGTCACTTGCGAGTTGCCACCGCACAAGGCCCTTTTGCTTCTCGCGATGAAAACGGTCGGCTTGCGATAGTCAGGCGTCTTTTACCAAACCCCAAACATCCCCAAACCCTTTTTTCGAATTGCTATAGTTGTTCTTTTGATGCACTGGGCCCTTGCTCAAGGGCAATCCGAGGGCCATTTGGCAGAGCTCCTGAGAGACCGGTTTGGGTTTACCTGCAGATGGCAGTGGAAAGTGACCATCGCAAAGAGGTGTGATGCAGTTCCGAGGGCAGCGCAGATAAGAGATAGAAGGGAGGAATCAGAATTTCAGCAGTAGCGCTTGAAATGTCTGGACCTTCGACCCGAAATTGCAATAACAGTCCGTTAGTTTTTAAATATGTTACTAGTCCATTAGTTTTTAAGTCTATTAGTCCATTAGCTTTTAAGTCTATTACTAGTTCATTAGTTTTTAAGTTTATTTGTTGGCCCCTTAATTCCTGGACCCCTAAACCTGCATTTTTGCGCGACCCCGAAAGCCACGGAGGTCAGTGCGATGATCGGCCCAGGAGGGCAGATCGTGAGGGTGCGTGGGCCCAGGGACAAGGGTAGCCACAAGAAGAGGTTTGTGGGGACGAGGGTGTAGGTTCTGGCGTCATCAGAGGGCAGGGGGTTTTACAGTACACTTACAGTACACACATAGGCAGACGTTATTCATTGCACATGTAGAGGCTCAGTTCTAAAGGCCTACATGCACCATTGATGTCTGTCGTCAGTGGCAAGGCGATGCTGGGTGGCTTCAAGTTTCAGCACACGACCATTTATTGAGCACTCCTGGCAGTAATCGCAGTCGCCGTCGCGGTCTCGGTCGCCGTGGCAGTTGCAGTCGCAGTCGCAGTAGTAGCAGTAGCAGTAGCAGTAGTAGTGGCAGTACTAGCAGCAACAGCAACCGTAGTAGCAATTGTTTTAGTAAGTGTAGTGGGACATGTAGTAGTACCCGTGGTAGAAAATGTAGCACTACATGTAGTAGATGTAGTAGCAAATGTATAACAAAGCAAATGTAGTGGCAACTGTAGCCGTAAGTGTAGTAGTACATGTAGCCGTTAATCGTTGTCGTCGTGGTAGAAGTAGTAGAAGTACTAGGAGTCATAGTCGTCGTCGTAGTAGTAGTAGCAGCAGTAGCAGTAGGAGTATTTGTAGTCGTCGTAGTAGTAGTAGTAGTAGTAGTAGTAGTAGTAGTAGTAGTAGTAGTAGTAGTAGTAGTAGTAGTAGTAGTAGTAGTAGTAGTAGTAGTAGTAGTAGTAGTAGTAGTAGTAGGTAGTAGGTAGTAGTAGTAGTGGTGGTAGTGGTAGTGGTAGTGGTAGTGGTAGTGGTAGTGGTAGTGGTAGTGGTAGTGGTAGTGGTAGTGGTAGTGGTAGTGGTAGTGGTAGTGGTAGTGGTAGTGGTAGTGGTAGTGGTAGTGGTAGTGGTAGTGGTAGTGGTAGTGGTAGTGGTAGTGGTAGTGGTAGTGGTAGTGGTAGTGGTAGTGGTAGTGGTAGTGGTAGTGGTAGTGGTAGTGGTAGTGGTAGTGGTAGTGGTAGTGGTAGTGGTAGTGGTAGTGGTAGTGGTAGTGGTAGTGGTAGTAGTGGTAGTGGTAGTGGTAGTGGTAGTGGTAGTGGTAGTGGTAGTGGTAGTGGTAGTGGTAGTGGTAGTGGTAGTGAGTAGTAGTAGTGAGTGGTAGTAGTAGTAGTAGTAGTAGCAGTAGCAGTAGCAGTAGCAGTAGCAGTAGCAGTAGCAGTAGCAGTAGCAGTAGCAGTAGCAGTAGCAGTAGCAGTAGCAGTAGCAGTAGCAGTAGCAGTAGCAGTAGCATAGCAGTAGCAGTAGCAGTAGCAGTAGCAGTAGCAGTAGCAGTAGCAGTAGCAGTAGCAGTAGCAGTAGCAGTAGCAGTAGCAGTAGCACCAGCAGCAGTAGCAGTAGCAGTAGCAGTAGCAGTAGCAGTAGCAGTAGCAGTAGCACCAGCAGCAGTAGTAGTAGCAGCAGCAGTAGTCAGCAGCAGCCGCCGTGGCTGCCGGCGTTGATAGTGACAATTTTCAGCACAGGTAGTTATGGCATCGCAAGAATATTGCGGACACTCAGATGCGCTGATAACAGCCAGTGGCACGTGGTGACAGCTTAAGATGCAATGTTCCAGCAGGCACGCATGGTCGGCATAGGGCACGCACATTCCCAAAGCTGTAGATTGTCCATCACTCGAGCATTGCAGAGACTTCGTCACGAATCTCCGAGCCCTGGCAGAACGTGCGCCAAACCACCGGTACTCACATCCACTTCGACGAAGTGCCGCACGGTGCGAGGCGGCCCAATGCAAAAGTGCTGCTTTACGAACGGAATTGGTCATCCGAAACGCCCCCCCAAATTTAGGAAATTCGGCCCTGAACCATGCAGCGTGTTTCCAGCCTCGGCACAACCCTAAACCCTAACCCCTCAAAATGAACTTCGAGCCGTGGAACCTCTCGGTTTGCGGAATTCCGAACCGCGGAACCTTTCGGAGTTCGGCGATCGGAATTCCCAAAAGCCGAGAACCAAAACCAGAGATCTTGCGTAGTACCGAGGGCAACATCGATTAGTGCATCGCATTGTATGATAGCAATGGTGGAGTCTTGCAATAGTGACGATCAGGTTGTTCGCTTGGCGCGTGTATGTCTTCGTCTGCTGCAGATCGACTTCTCATGCACACGCTCCGGTGTTTGCAGATCTACCTTGGCATTGCCGTTGCCTGCAGGGGTCTGGCATGACCTGAGATGGCCTTTCAACAGCAAAGATGTCCAATGCAGCGGGAACGTTCAATTTTGATTCAACCCCGTGAGGAAATGTCCCGCCGTGCACGCACCTTTGCATCTGCTAGCAAGCTTTGGCTTAGAAAGGTAGACTCGCAATCGGCATTGCCCTTCAATCGAGCCTGCTCACCATGTGGATGCTGAAGGCCTTGTCGCTCTTGGCGGTGGCCCAGGCACAGATTGAGCCCACGCAGACAATGCTGCGCAAGGCGGTGCTGCAGAAGGCGACCTCCCTTCTCAACAGCACCGTGGATGACACGCTGAGCTGTGTCAGCAGCTGCCCGCTGGACGGATCCAGTTTGAGCCCAAGCCCACTTTGCCTCCTGAGCAACTGCACTTCGACTTTGGCCAAGTGCTTGTTCTCATCGACCTGCCGCAGCGGTCTCATGTGTGAGTTACACTGCACAGAGCCGCTCGCCAAGACCGAAGATGGCTTGCACTTCGCGACTCTCATGGAGTGCGTGCGGGTGAAATGCCCAGGCTTCCCACCCAGCAAAAGCTGCGTGGCTCTCCATTGCATCGAGGAGGCGGCCGAGTGTGGGATTCACAGCAAGTGCCGTCACGGCCTCGAATGTGCGAATGGCTGTGTCCCAGCGAAGTATTCGGCTGCCCTGGAGCTCGTCAAGGAGAACACCGCCGTGGCCGTTTGAGAGCCTCCTTTAACCCAAGACCTTTGCCTGATGGCAATCGTCACTGCCTATGGATTTTCGCGAGTGCGGCTGAGCGTTGGCCAGCTGCTCCGTGGGTCCTGCCTTGACCAACCCTTGCGATGGAAAAACAGCGCAGAGACGGGCAGACGCCGGCGCCCCGCCCTGCCAGACGTCCCGCCGTCCCGCCACTCGCCGCCAGGGAGCAAACCATGCGCATCAAGGGTCCCCTGTTGGGCGTCTACAGGCCGGCGGCCGCAGTGCAGGATGGCTCGGATTGAGGTTTCGGATTGCAGTGAGATGGAGACGACTTGTCGTAAGAGCGGCTTCCATGTCATGGCGAGTCTAGAGCCTATGCAGCATAGATCTGCTTCCTCGGTCAGGGCGCACGTGATGATGATGCAAAGGCGCTGGGGGCTGGGGCGTTGGGGCGCTGGGGCATGCGGTAGCATGGAGGTCAGTCGGACCTGTCAGGGTGTGCTTTCGCTTCTGCCTTCGGCGTGCCATGAAGGTATCATGAGCACGAAACAGAGTTGTCCGCGGCTCAGGAGGGCCTGTGTGGGGTTTAGGTGCTGGACTGCCCTACCAACTTGCAGCGTGAAGAAATCCTGCAGCTCCACCATCATCGCCTCAGACGGTTCTCACTCAGCGGACGGACCAGGTTTGAACCCAAGGGCAAAGGTGCTGCTCCTGCAAAAGGCGGGACATCCTGGGCAGTGCCCGCAAAGAAGATAGAAGATGATGGTATTGCTCCATACAGGCAAGGATGCCGACACAGTGAGGATGAGGACGATAAGAGTGAAGAAGAAGAGTATGATGATGGTGTTGGTATCCTCGTGATGCAGCAGCTGCATGCAGCGCCATCTCCACCACCCAGCATCACCAGAATCATGCAAACAGCACAAAACTTCGTCAGCATCATAGTAGTCTCAGCAACAGGAATGACACGTCAATTCAGCTTACGGTTGTTCACCGATCTGCTGGTGGTGGTGCTGGTGGTGGTGGTGGTGGTGGTGGTGGTGGTGGGTCGTGGTCGTGGTCGTGGTCGTGCTCGTCGTTCGTTGCCACTATCACTATTCAGGCGCATCTTTTCTAATGCCTTTGCCATCATCGTCATCACCAGCTTCATGACCACCACGTCGCTAGTAGCATCACTATCATTGTCTTTTGACTCCACTTCCTCTTTCTCCTGTTCATTAAATATTACCAGCATCATGATGATCATCTCGCCATCATCGTTGTCATGAACAAGGTCATGCGCACCACCACCACCACCACAACCAGATTAAGTGCCGTGTTCGCACGAAGTTTGGTGCTGGCCGATGATGCCACTGATCGTCCTGCTGGTGGTTCCCAAAGCCTTATCTCATCATCGTCGTTGTCCGCTCCTCTGCCTCGTCACCGCCGCCACCGCCACCCACTCACTCCTGCGACCTGATATCCACAGCACCACCGAAAGTCACCACCACAGCCACATTCACTCTCGCTGCCACCATCGCTGCACCCATTACACTCGTGCTGCATGCTCGAAGCGCCAGGCGCTGAATCACTGTAATCACTCTAGCCCAACAGCAGCCCTTGCAAGTGTCAGTTAAGGAGCAAGGCCAAGGATCCAACTTCATGACACGATGCACACAGAAGCTTACTCTGGACACAATATTGCCACTGTCAGCCTGATAATAGTTTACCACCACCCTGAACCTCATCGGACCGCTGGACGGCTCTATCCTAAAACCCGAAGCCTCCAAACCCGACACCCGAAACTTGAGCAAAACTCTTTGCTTGGCTTGCGAAGGTCGAAGTGCATGGAAGCGAACAAACAACAAACTTGATCAATAATCCCTGAACCTCAAACTGGACTTCCTGCCAGGCGGGAAGAGCGAGCGCCGTAGTGGCTGGGATGCCAAGGGCCGTGACGGTGACTGGGCGGCACTCTTGGGTTTGGATTTGGGGTGTCGGGTTTAGGGTTCCGGTTCATGAATTAGCATTTGCGACCCTCAAGGTAAGGCCTAGAAGCCTCACCTCTTAGACAACATCAGGAAGCCACCCAAAACGCGTTTCTGGGTCCAGGCGGCAAGGGCCGGGAGCCCATCCGGGAGCCCATCCGGGAGCCCACCCGGCAGCATTATCGCGAGCCGCCTCCGCAGCATTATCGCGAGCCACCACCTCCGCGGGATTCCGGCAAGGGCCGAACCCATGGCGGACCAGGCGGACCTTGCTCATGTACATCCTAACTGAATAGAACATGTACATATTTCACCTGCCACGTATGTAGCGTTTCCGTGGACCGGAGAGCACCCCAGGTCCACAGACTCACTCACGCACCCACCCAGGCACGCACGCAAGCACTCACTGACTCACTCCCTCACTCCCTCCCTCGCTCACTCACTTACTCACGGATATAGGTGTATACACACGTACAAACACAGACGGGCTTTTACTTTACATATGTGTATATATATATATACACACACACATGCATTTGTGTATGTATGTATGCATGCATGCAGCATGCAAGCATGCATCCATGCATGCCCGTCTGTCTGTCTATCTGCCTGCCTGTTTGTTTGTCTGTCTGAAAGCACACATGCCGATATGTTTATATACATATATACAGCTACATATATGCACACTCTGGCATACGTGAAAATTGATTGATGTGCATGAGTTTTTGGTCTTTGTACATCTGACTTGTATATGTGTAAGCCCATGTGTATGTGTATGTGCATGTAGTACATGCACCAACATATGTAGCTATATAGAGCTATGGTATAACCATGAATTCAGATGTTTGTGCCCAACTACACACATTCTACGCCGTATCTAGATGCACAGGGCTGGGGGCTCATACGCCATATCGGGCTCCGCAGGGTTCAATTTTTGGGTGGTTGGTAGGTGAGCTGGCAGAATGTACGGAGCAGTTCAGTGAGTAAGCCGTCGCAAGAGCATCTTGAGCAGAACTAGTATGAACTGGTGACAGTTTGCATTTGGGCCTCCCAGGTAAGGCAAGGCGTCGGCTCAAGCGAAAGGGCCTTGCATATTCAAGCATCGGAGTCTCAAGCACTCAGGCTCAGAAGTTGGCTCTGACTTTAAACTCGCTAAGAGCCGGAGTTGGTACTAGTATCCAGTGTGGTTAGGATCGCTATGATCTCCATGACATCATGATGCTATACATGAGAGCCTTCACTTTATCACGTCTGTGGCTGTTCATGCTCAAAACTGAGACCTAGTCAACCTGATCTCTGAGCTCCAAGGGCATAAGGAGCTGAACCGTGAAGTAAAGTTTTTAGAGTCGACAGCCCCTAAAGCTTCAAAACTCATAATCTCATCCGCTTTGAAACGTCTTAAACCCTGATCCCTAAACACTACAAGCCCGGGCTTTCGTAACGCACTCTGCAGATACAAAAGGAGCCCAAAAAAAACACACTACAAGCCTAAAGCAACAAAATCATATGCGAGTTCGCTTTCGGAGGTCGGCCAGAGAGGTCCGGAGAGTCGCGGGAGCACCTCGAGGCAGACGATGTGTGTCTCTTTGTTTACGGGGGGATTTATATATGCAATGTATATATATATATATATGTACGCACATATGTATGTGTATGTGTGTAAAGGTAGATAGAGATATAATATGTATACACACACATATATATATATATATATATATGAGATGCAGTGTGATGATTGTGTAGCAGAGTTGATGGCTCCCTGGGAGTGGGAAGCTGAGTTGAGGGCTGGGAGCTTCCAGGCATGGACAAATGCGGGCGAGTAGTCGGTTTGTAGCTCCGGCAGCGAAGCGTTTAGGGCCGCAAGTGACTGCAGTGAGTCGCAGACTATAAAGGCTTAAATAGTTACCAATACTAATTTTGTTTTCTTCCTTCTTAGAATTGCAGTATGATGGGCCCCAAAGCCCTATTCTAATTATTAAGGCCACTAAATTGAAGATTCATCCATGAGCAGCGTCATGGTCGCCCCCCCATGGTCGGTATGATAACTGAAGCCGTGGCACTCTGAGTCTTGTCCCGAGCATGTGCCAAGTTGCCGGTCTTCATCGACTTTTGAGTCACTGTTCTCGTCCTCATCCTTTGTGGTAGGCATAGTGGTGGTGCTTTAGATGACAGACTCCTGCGTTTCGCCACGAGCTGGGAGGACATGCTCGCAAACTTGGAGAGGCAGATGGCCGAGGTGCGCTGGTGCCCTTCTGCGGTTTCTATTATTCCAGAGCCTATCCTGAGTCCCACCCCTTTCTCCTTACTTTCTTCAGGGTCCCCATGATTATTGCATGTTTGATCAAGGGCACTGAAGTAGCATGAAGCGATGGCCATCTATTTTCCAGATGCTGACACAAAACCAAAATGCGCAGATGTGTCAATGCGGCACATACATGTATACACATCTTTATACTTATGTATATACACATATACATATATAACTAAATATATGTATATGTATAGTTATCTGTGAATATCCTGGCTCATCGTATGATGGAGCATGGCACGAGACAAGAGTAATTAATGCAAGATACTACCTTGCAGAGCAGCCATTCCACAAGCAAAGAACGCACCGTTGTGGGGACAGGCATGCAACCCATTCAAATCAAGCTTGCCAGATCAAGCCAACCGAACCTGCCCTTCCTTGAGGTAGCCCTCTTGCCGTTCCTGTCCTGACCCCTGTTTTCACCCAGCCTGCTCCACCCCAATCTAGTACCTTAGAAGATGGGGACGCCGCAGCATGACGCAGAGCGGGGAGTGAGGTACCAGGTGTGGGTTTCACGGCCCATGGGATGAACGATTAATGTTTCAGCACTTGGAGGCATGCTGGATCTAAGGGAGTTGCTTGGCTCTCGACATCGGTCGCTGCATGAGGGCTTACACGCTGGAGCCACAAGGCAATCTCAAGTAACCTGCAAGAGGTGCAGAGTTGTTTCCGCTACTCTACCCTGCTGCGCTCTAAGCTTCCCAATTCACTTGGGAGTTTCCGAAACTAGGGGACCCTAACATAGTACC